TTGCTCATTGCATGATCGCACATTTTACAAGTACACACTCAGATTCACAAAGATATACACACCTTTTTTCAGAGCACGGATTTTAGATTTTCAAAGCACGGATTTTTCATCCCGAGGCACGTCCGTGCCTGTAGGCACGTTAAAATAGGCCCTGGTCCGAAATGACATAGATTGTGTCCAGTTGCCCCCCCCCCCATCTCTCTCTCTCTCTCTCTCCCCCCCCCCCCCCAATGAAATCAACGATTTAATCTTTGATCCGAATCAAAGCGGTCAAGTCATATTAAAATATGAACTTATTCAAGTACAGTGGTTCCCAACTTCCCATTGTCATACGCGATGAAGCGATGGACCACATCGCTTAATTGACTAGAGGCTGGTGAAGTGAGCGGATGGCCTTTGAAGTACACTATTGAACAGTAGTCCTGGACATATAAAAATACTTTTGGACTAACATTTGACCATTTGGTTTTTGACATTTTCTCCATTGATTTTTATCTTTTTCATGGTTCTTTTTTTTAGAATGGGGGTGCAGAAAAGTTATCGATCCCCCCCCCCCCAATTCCCTTAAATGACGAGCAATGTGTCCAAATAGAATTGATTGATTTTGGAAAAAAATCGTGATATTAGAAAGCCCGCATCTCAGATTAATAGATCGTAAATTTTGATCGTTAGCTATTATATAGCCTGAATCACATACACTGAAACTATAAATCTATTTCCCAAATAAACAGGGCGCCGGAAATATTAAATACATGAAGCCAATAAAGCATTCCTATTTTCTATATAAGTGATTGAGATGTTGAATCGAATCTTTATAACTGAAGAACATCTAACACCATCATATTTACCTAAGCCATGTTTCAGTTCCATCTTGTAACAGTTTTTCTAACAGTTATAGTTATAACTTCTAGAGGTAAGGTTTTTTCTAACAACTTCTAGAGGTCATGTTTACCTAACATACATAGTTATGATTTCTAGAAGTAATGTTTTATCTAACAACTAAAGTTATAACTTCTATAGCTAAGTTTTCTTTCTAAGAACTGTAGTTATAACTTCTAGCGGCAAGGTTTTATCTAACAACTATTGTTCTAAGTTCTAAAAGTAGAGTTTTATCTAACAGCTAGAGTTAGAACTTCTAGAGATAGTGTTCCATCTAACACTATAGTTATAACTTCTATCTAACAACTAAAATTATAACTTTTAGAGCGAAGTTTTTTCTAACAACTGTAGTTATAACTTCTGGTAAAGTTTTATCTAACAACCATGGTTCTAACTTTTAAAATTAGGGTTTTATCTAACATCTAAAGTTAGAACTTCTAGAGATAATGTTCCATCTAATACTATTGCTTTAATTTTTAGAGGTAGGGTTTTATCTAACAACTAAAATTATAACTTGTAGAAATCGGGTTTTATCTAACAACAAAAGTAATAACTTCTAGACGTAAAGTTTGTATCTAACAACAAAAATTATAATGTTTTATCTAACAGTTATAACTTCTAGAAGTCGGGTTTTATCTAACATCAAATGTTGTAACTTCTAGAAGTAAAGTTTGTATCTAACAACAAAAATTATAACTTCTATAAGTAAAGTTTTATCTGACAACTAGAGTTATGACTTCTACAGATAGGGCTTTATCTATAACAACTATATTTATAGCTTCTAGAAGTACTGTTTTATACAACTATAGTTATAAATTGACTGGACTATTGTAGAGCCAAACGTTATAATTCTGATGATAGTTTTTCTCTCCTTGTTGTAGATTCTCTAGCTATGTCCTAATATTTTTCGGGGGGGGGGGGTATTTTGCCCGGACAGCGGCACTATGACCTACTCTTATATTGAATTCCAATTACAAAGGGATATCGGTTTTCGCTTAATTCTAACGACTATGCGCTGTTCCATGCCAGGCCATCTGTCCTGCACAACTGACAAGGGGGGGGGGGGGGGGGAGACACGCCGGAAAATCCCGATGAACGTTCTCTGGGTAACACCGGTATCGAACAAAGGACCTCCAGATTAGCGAGCCAACGTCTTCCTCACTGACTCACTGTGGTTTCGTAATACATGTGTAAATAAGGCATGAATTTGAATCAGTAATTGTTTGAGATGTTTCAGAAGTCTGGGGATATAAAGGAAATGTACATCAAGATATCGTATCAACGGTTGAAATGGCGCGTTTATTCCAATATTTGGCACCAGGTGTAACGGGATTGAGTCGAGCTATCAGCACCGATATGGATAAAAACAAGGATGGTAAAATAAGCACCGATGGTAAGTACAGAATGGAATCAACTCGGCCATTTACAGACTATAAAAGCGATATTTATATTTGTATTGTTACGTATGCCTCCAGCCAGCCATGTTGTACATGCGTTGAATTCGGATTTTCGTGCCACTAGTCAACATTTGTCTGGTCAACCGGACAGACAGCAATCTAGGTAAAATAGGTAATTAAATTAACATATATCAACGCGCGAAATTAGATCAGTGGCGGTCCAATGGTGGACCTACTTATTTGGGTCCTGACGCTCGAAATGTATACGGGCTCCCACACAACCAGCATTGTAGAATAGGTATCTACTATTATCGTCTTCATTGGAGACATGTTTGTTATATTCGTAACAAATGGAAGAAAAAAAACATTACACGTCCAATTCAATTGGCCCCTACTGCCAGCAGAGTAAACCAAAACTATTTTCAGGGATGTGGCTTATAGTCGAATTTGGGACCGCTTTGGGATTAGGGGTCCTGTAGCTGAAACAGACCCGCCTCTAAATTGGATATGCTAAAGTGTGAACATTTTGTACCATCCGAGATGAGATCTGTTTTCAAAACGTTTCCAAAAGTTTTTCTTTAGGCTACCAAAATGACTTACCATAGTTAACCCTCTCTCCGTAACACCGGATATCACTTTGCGATAGCTGTTCAATTGGGAAGTCCACTTATTCATAATAATATATGTATTGAAAATATTTTATTTTTCCTTTCTTTTAGAACTGTTTGACTGTGATGATGACAATATGTATTAGGATCTTAACGGAAAACAATCATGGTAAATATTCTCATTTTGACTTTAACTTTATAAGTGGGGGCACCGTTACTCAGTGGGTAAGACTGGCATACTAAAATGGAGGTCCCATGTTTGATCCCGGTGTTGGCCGAGAAAGTTCATCGGGATTTTTCGGCGTGGTTTTTTTTTTCAGTGGTGTGAGACTAAGGTTCTGGCAAGGGACAGTATATAGTCGTTTGGATGGGACGAAAAACAAATTCAAATAATTTACCCTTAAAATTTTAAGAGAATTAATCGGAAGGTAACACATTTAGGTTTTCATTGGAGTCTCCAAAACAGACAAATTATTAACGTCACTTCTTGCAGCTTTTACATTCTACTTTTTTGCACCAACCGGGATATGAAGACGGATATACGCCATAATGTATGCTATGAGGTAACTTTTGTCCGGACAGCGGCACTACGACCTACTATTATTTCGAATTCTGTCAAGGGTTCTTTTACGTGCACACGGTACTCGGTGTTTCGTCGGATTAGAACCACTAGATTTTGTTCCTTGTCAGCCACCCGTTCTGCACCACTGACAAGGGAAAACCTTTTATATATTACCGAATTGGAATTTTAATGCAGTATTTATAATATTTTGTTTGTATTGCAGGTTGGCGTGTTAAAAGTAGATTATTAGATTGACCTTGTGTAGAAATCGTATAGTGGGTGTTGTTGACGTTGCTGTAGTTGCCTGAATCACATATTATTTGCTTCTGGTCGTTGTTAATATTTAAATATGCTTTAATTATAAATACAATACTTGTAATACAGAAATGAAATGAAATGGGGTTTAACGTCCTACTGTACTGCCCTGACTGGGCTATTGAAGACGGGCATACTCCATACAGTGTGCTTTGAATGAAATTTTGCCCAGACAGTATGACTACGGCTTAAGCTTATTTCGAATTCCAACTATCAAGGGTTCTTTTACGTGCAGGTCAATGTGTACACGAGACTTCGGTTTTTCGTACCACCCAAACGACTATGTGCTGCCCCTTTCCAGGCCCCTGTCCTGTACCACTGACAAAGGAGAACCACCCCGGGAAATCCCGATGAACTTTCTCAAGTTAGCAAGCCAACGTTTTACTCACTAAGCCACAGTGACTCCCACTTCTAATACAAAGATATCTTTCAAATTTTGACAGATCACAAATCTACCATTATTGGCATCGACAATTTGTCTGAATCGGTTTTCGGACAAAGTTGTGGTAGGAAAAATCAAATGAAGTGGGTTGGGGTTTAAAGTTACAATTTCATATTTTTAAGTTATATTTTTAAAATTAATTAAAATAAAGCCCTAAAATAGGTGGTATCTATAAACAGTCCTACCTTGTTAAAGAATAATCCTATTAATCCTATATAATTCACTATTGCCAGTTGAGAAATTGGCAAAAATATCATTTTCAACTTCAAATTCAAACGTTTGAAGATAGCTATTCAATGTGGGGAATAGGAAAACAAGGGAGGTAATTGTGTTATTATTTCCGGGGTAAAGATTTTTTAAGTGTGAGAAAGATAACCTATGATCGTATAATAGTGAGTTGACAACCTATTGAGCAAAAGACATAGAAATAATTATGTTTTGACTTTCTTAGAAAATATGAAATTGTAACTTTAAGGTTATACTTTTCTGCACGCCAACGTATACGCCATATCATCCGAACGACGAAATTCTGTACCACTGACTATATAGGATAAACCACGCTAAGTCCCATGGTTATCCCGAAGGCGCCCTTGTTGAAAAAAAAAACCCACGTTTAAACGACACCACTTATGTGGGATGGAAAGCACATCACTTGAATCTATGATAGACCTTATTATCTAGACCATTCGAAACCCCCTTCCCCACCCATTTAATCGGAAGAATCTTCGAAGTTAAATTTCATAAACGGACGTCGGACTTAATTCTTCTACCCAGACTACGACAACATGACACAGAAATCCCAGAGGGTTAATATAATATTTCATCAATTGCATTCAGTTTATATGTTGATGTAAAAATGATTACTTTTACAGCGTTTTATTTCTTTATCAATTTGTCTTTATCCGCTAACCTGAAAAGAGAAATGTAATCAAATGAAAGGAAAGACGTAGGGGGGGGGGGGGGGGCGAACCAGGCCGATTGGTTAATAATCGGTAGGGCAAGGTAAGGAGGCAAGGGAGATAACTATTAATTTGAGATGCAACATTAGGATTGACACCACACCGCTGATTTCTGAATTTTGATTAACTGATTAACATGTGATCACGCACTAAATTTATTCCGAATACTCCATGAAAACGAGCCAATGTACCGTGCGAATGCTCTTATATCGTAATTCTGAAAAGCTTCATGGGTGTGTCTAGAAATAATAAATAAAATTTATATGTTTAAATACATGGAATGAATGTGAATGGTATACACGGGGCGTCGTTTCTTTTTGTGCCAACCGAAAACCTAGACGTATTTCTTTGTCAGCCCCCCCCCCACCACCACCGTTCTGCACAACCCGCATGGCAAAACTGGGTGGAAAATCTCGATGACGTTGTTCGGACAATACTGGGTTAGAAACCGGGACCCCCTGATTGTGAGTCAACACCATATTCATTGCACCACAAGAGTGTTATGTATTATTTTACAAAAATAAATCCAGCTTTACGACTATAATGACGCCATGGAATTATCGAAAATTCCCCTAAATAAGGTCGACAAAGGCCCGTTTTCCATGTACGCGTTTTCGCCGGCGTAAAAGTCGGTCTAATGCAAATGTAATGCGGCCGTTTCCATCTTACCGGCGAAAACGAGCTTAAATGGGTATAATTCAATATTTGAAAACCAAGGTAAAACAACAAAAATATATAAGAACTCACCTGATTTCATATACAGTCAATATCCCGTTTAATTTTCTTTCAATTCTAAAAATACGAATTAGCTGTATCAGGATGTTAATTTCTATTTATCCATGTCTGGATGAAGTTTATAAATTTTCCACCCAAATTTTCTAAACTGCTGAACATAACCCTTACTCAAATCCTAGTTCGGTGCAATGTGGGTGTAGTCTAACCATTGGCAGATGGAATTCGAAATAAGAGAAGGCCATTTCCCTCATAGCGAGAGCGAGAGAGAGAAATGGGGTTTAACGTCCACTCGACACAAACTAGGTAATTTCGGGACTAACATATGGTTTAATTTTATTTACATAATTCGCTTGCGCGTAGGGGTCTTTAGCAGTGGGAGGAAACCGGAGGTCCCGGAGAAAACCCACGAGGTTGGACAGGCGACCCTACTCCTTGCCACGTACAACCGGGGATTCGAAACCACGCCAGTCGACTCAATGACAGACTTTATGATACAGCGCGCGCACGCTAACCATTCAGCCATCCAACCCCCCCCCCCCTTCCCTCATAGCACACTACATGGCATACGCCCGTCTTCATTAGCCCAGTTGATGTAGAATAGCAGGAAAATAAACCCCATTTCAATTCAATCCAATTCCTCAAGGAGGAATTAAAGAATTTTATTTTAATCACTATTATTTAAATGATATACAATTAGTTTTACCTTTCTCTTCTATTTGCCCATTTCTATTTTTATCGAGACAAATGACTTCTCGTAATACGTCTATTTCACAACCATAACCAGGTTCCACTATTGCGTTGTGTAATGTCATATAATATTGTTTTGCTGTCACAACTCCATCATCGTCACCAGCCCGAGAACGGTGTTCTATAATCGCTGGAAAGAACAAATCAATTTATATAGTTTAGTCAAGACCGAATAAAAACGACTTGAGCCCTAGGCAACTATCCATATTTGAAAGGATGTAACTGAACCAGATTTTACCTCGCAGAAAGGGTATTAGTAATTCATCACATTCTCGGGGCATCATTAAACTCTCTCCAGGACGATTTCCACCAAATCCGTGATCCATTAATTGCATCATTCCATTGGCTATTCGCGGGAATGAGACGGACCCTGAAGAAACAATATAAATATGAAACGTGTGAACATTGCCAATTTTGAATATCTTTATCATTAGAAAAGGTACATCTAATCTTATCGGTCTGTCCTCAGGGATGGACTGGGGACCCGTGGCCTCCTACTCTCTGAGGGGCCCCCATGTTTAAAAAATGACTGTAAATTGTGCTTTCTAAATCCTAAGTGCCAAACCTCCAAAAACTGCTTATAAATTCATAAAACGACTAAATTCTAGACTAATAAATTTCCACAAACTACACGAGAACATTAATCTTCTGTGCCCCCCCCCCTTCTCGAGCCTGCAATACTCCCGGGCCCCTTCTTAACCCACCCCTGTCTGTTCTTTTGGATGGAGTATAGTTGTAACCAGGCACCTATATCAATGAGCAAAAACTATCACATTCCTGGAACAGGAACTGTTTCCTTAGCGATACTTATTTTGTTGTTCTTCTTGGGGGGGGGGGGTGCTCTTCGAAAAAAACCAAGGCTCCGCCAATTCGAATACGATCGACATGAAACTTTAAAAAGTGGTTAAAATCGACTCAAATGACTTATTATTTCGTATGATAAAAAAGCATGCCACAATTAAAAAACAATTTAAACACAATTTACAAATTTATTACCTAACATGGGAAGAGATAATGTGACAAAACATTGTTTACGTCAATATTCTACTATGCCCAATTAAAAAGATTCACATATTATAATAATATCCGAATCTGAATGTAATATTATTGGCAAGTAAAAAATTATCTGTGTCACACTTGTACTGTCTTCTAGTTCTACGTTTACTTTTCCTTCTTATATCTTCGCCTGCACCTGCACCTTAGGATGGACCTTGGCGCACACCTATAACTCTTGGCAATGTGTTCAGTTTTCAACGGCTTTTAAGGATTTGCGTATGTTTTAGAATTGCAGTGTTCATTAAAGTGTACATATTTCAACGCAAAATGTTCTAATAAGAACATATTCAGAAAAGGTAAGGCGTCCGTTGGATTTACAGTGTAGCCGCAGAAGCTATAACTGTTAGATAAAACCCTACCTCTAGAAGTTGTAACTTGAGTTGTCAGATAACACCTACCTGTAGACGTTATAACTATAGTTGTTAAAGAAAACCTTACCTTGTTGTTACCTACCTTATCTTTACAGTTATTAGACGGAACATTATCTCTAGAAATTATAACTTTAGTTGTTAAGCCCAGCTTACAACCGCCGTACATGCTTCTACGAACAATCCACGGGGGGGGGGGGGGGGGTAGTAAACCCGTGCGTGAGACTTACGCGGCACTTGCGTGTTATCTTCACATTGGCCGAGAAAGTTCATTGGGATTTTCGAACGTGCCCCCCCCCCCTTGTCAGTGGTGCAGGACGGAGGGCCTGGCAAGGACAGCTGTCTTGTCGTTCGGATGGGAAGAAAAACCGAGGCCCCATGTGCTCATTTGCATGCACATTAAAGATCCCTTGGCAATTGAAATTCGATATACGAGTAGGCCAGTAAGCCATAGTGTCGTTGCCCGGGCAAAATTTCCCTCATAGCACATGCACTGTATGGCGTATGCACGTCTTCATTAGCCCAGTGTAAAAGCAGAACAGTAGGACGTTGAACCCCATTTTATTTCATTTCATTTTGTGTAGACTGGCCGTACAGACTTTCGGTCCTGGACATACAAAATGATCATCCGGTTTCTTGCGGCTGGTCCACGAGCTATAAAACACTACGACCCGTGTGTGTCAAACACGTACGGCGGGTTGTGAGCTAGACTTTAGCTAAAACTTTATCTCTAGAAATTATAATAAATTATAACGCATAAATACACTTATGGAAAACGTCGCCCAAAATAAATAAGTATGTGTTATTGTTTATTGCTCTATCCAGTTACTAAATGCCTTCAAACGATTAGAAAATACAACTTTAGTTGTTAGAAAAACCTTACTTCTAGAAGTTGTTAGATAAAACCCTATCTCTAGAAGTTATAACTATAGCTGTTAGATAAAACCTTGCCCTTTAAAGTTATAACTTTAGTTGTTAGATAAAACCTTGCGTATTGAAGTTATAACTTTAGTTGTTACATAAAACCTTGCCTCTAGGAGTTATAACTATAGTCAGTGGATTGGGTATAGTCTCTGTCATTCAGACAAATATTCTACGAATACTAGTCTGAATGGGTTGTCAACATCTGAGAATAACTAGGTCATTGGCGAGATTATCCAGTCTTTTACACTATCATGTACAAAATTAAGGTAGAGGTGGGGAAGGGGGGAGTTAGCCCCCAAAAAGATAAAATTACTTTAAGAATTGTTATTTCAGAAAAATCTATTTGCATAACCGACCTGCTTAATTGTTTTATTGTAAAATTTGTTTCTTCAAGGACCATATCAATGTTTTTTTTATTAATCCTTATCTGTCGTCACAATTCATGTTTGTTTATAATAATGCATGAATTATGGGTTTATTTCGGAAAGGGGCGCAACTCTTTCTTGACGTAAGCTAAAACGTTCCATTGCCCATGCTTAACCGGAAGGTTTTTTTTTTATGTAGCTGATTATCCAGTATAATTTCGACAAATGTTGACAACTGGCCTAGACCCTCTGTACCTTAAAGACTGGGAGGTTCTGGGTAATCGAGACTGTGGTTTGGGTGGCTGAATGGTTAACGCGTGGGTGTTGGATAATAAGGTCTGTCACTGAGTCAAGTAGCATGGCTCCGATTCTCTGCTTGTAAGTGGCAAGGAGTAGGGTCGCCTGTCCAGCCTCGTGGGTCTTCTCCGGACCCTCCGTTATAACTTTATTTGTTAGATAAAACCTTACCTCTAGGGGTTATAACTGTTAGATAAAACCTTATCCCCAGAAGTTAATACCTACCTTTAGTTCTTAAGATAAAACCTTACCTCTAGAAGTCATAATATAGTTGTTAACCAAAACATTATCTCTAAAAGTCATAGCTATAGTTGCTAAATAAAACCTTACCTCTAGAAATTATAACTGTATTTAGATAAAACCTTATCTCTAGAAGTTATAACTATATAGTTTTAGATATAACTTTACCTCTACAAGTTATAACTATATAGTTGTTAATTGTATAACTTTACGTCTAGATCAAACTTTACCTTTAGAAGTAAGAACTATATCTGTTAGATAAAACCTTACCTCCAGAAGTTATAACTGTTAGATAAAACATTACCTCTAGAAGTTACAACTTTAGTTTTTAGATAAAACCTTATCTCTAGGAGTTATGGCTTTAGTTGTTAGATAAAATATTACCTTTAGAAGTTATAACTATAACTGTTAGATAAAACATTACCTCTAGAAGTTATAAACATGGCTGCCAGTAAAAAGGTTAGAAGATGAAACTTGAACATTCTAAAGGTACAGATGACAGACGTTCTTCGGCTGTATATTTATATATATAAATTTGGTCAAAGAGTTTAGAACTCTTTTATAGAGACAAAATAGGCAACAACGCCTCTCATTAATAAGATCTCTTTTGAAGCTGACTGTAGATAAAGTTGTCAATAATAAGTTGTAAAAAAATCAAAGAGATTATCAAATGACAGTCGGATGCATCAAACCCTTTGGTTATAAATAATTTAACTATCCACGGGTTATTTTTTTTTGTAGCCCACGAGAGTCATGTCACTGTCCTTTAACCGTCTACTAATTAAATTTGTGTATATTGCAGAGTCTCTTGCACAGCACTCGTCATAAAAAATACATTATGTAAGATTTAGATAAAAAGCTAGCCATTCTTGCTATAATATTTCGAAAATAGATTATGTAAAATGAATAATTTGAAAATTTCATTCACATTACTCTATTGCGAGCGAAGATATTAGCCTTTGAATGTTTGCCAAGACGTGTGCAATAATTTTAACCACCGTACTGGTTGTTCGAAGCTAAATCTCGCTCCTCCATTTTTAGCTAAAATCAAAATATGGCTGAACTGTTCTAATCTATTTAATATCGGAGAAATCCGATGCCATCGAGAGTTGATTATGTCTAATTAATAATTTAGAAAACATTTCAGGCCTAAAGAAAGACCTGCAATAGGCAGATTTAGCTCTTGCATAATATATGTTTAAAGCTATTAAGGGCGATCATTTAGACATCGTATGGGCCGTGGGAACGATTCTGAAAGTGATTGTGGAGTGTGTATGTGTGTGTGTGTGTCGCGGGAGGGGTGGGGTGGGGGTATGCCTTTAACGAAGGTAAAGCATTCTCGAAAGCGGAGTGTAATGGGTTCCATGAGATTGTTGTGTATGAAATTTCTTTGCCCCAAATTGATCGATGTATCGACCGAAAAAAAAGCTACTGATTCCACAAAAAATCATCCCCGTTTTGTTATAAATATGTTCATTTCCCGATGAGTGGATGGGTGTTCAGCGGATTGTTGAACTGGCATTCCATCGTCTGCTAATTACTTTCGCTTTCAAAATCATGAACAGTTTTGCATTGCCCACTCAGATTTGTTTTCTTTCATTTTTATATGGTTGTCTTTCAAGTGATGACAAAGAATAGGTCGACTTTCTATAGTTCATTATCACTGTCTAGTGACTTTTTTCAAGATAGCAAACATGTTTTTGCTTGGGTGGGGCCCCTAGCCGACCTGTGCTATGTACGCCGCACTGGATTCTCACCATTTATTCATTGGACAGGGTCTACCTGAGAACACCCATGCCTAAAACTTGTTGAAAATCATGATTGATCAAATAACATGTAATAGTTTAACTACTTCTAAATGTTCTGAACGTGAAAGCCGGACTACCTGCGTAGGACTACCGCCTTAAGGTCTCAAGTAAAGGGCCTCATACAGAGCCTCATTTGTCCTAAATCCGGTACTGCCTCGACCCCTCACCTATGTTTCATAGAAAGCCATGACACCCATATGTTACTTTACGATGCCATATTGATTAATATAAACATCGAAACACTTGCCAGAAATATTAATGAAATATTCTCAAAATCACTAATAGGATAGGAACCATCTGAATTTACAGTCAGGGCCGGATTAAAGGGGTGGGGTGGGTGGGGTGCTGTGGTGTTGACTAGGTCCACCGATTTATTTTTCTGCACCAGCCTGAATAATGAAGACGGACATACGTTATACAGTGTGCTATAAGGGACATTTTGCCCCGACAGTGCTACAGCCTACTCTTATTTCACATTTCAACTGTCACGGGTTTTGGCAATATCAAACACTCCGACCTCCCCGCTAACCTATGTTAACCCCTTCCACTCGCTATGAAGCGCACAATAGAAACCAATCGCAATTTTGGATAATTTGAACTCATAGAAACAGATGTCATGTCAGAACAATCTGACCTCGAATCAATTCTTGTTAAGTGACATCCGAGTGAAGTATAGATCAGATGAAAGAATAATAAAGATAGATATTTTAATCTATATATAACAACCATTAATAGACTGTCATTACTTATTAGAGATATTAGGCGGAAATATATTGGCGATTGACAGTATTCAGTTTTTATAACGGAAACATAAAACCGACTTTTGTTTGAATCAAAGGATAATATCATTAAAAATAATCATTCTAATTAAAGTGTTCTTGTGATAGAAATCTTTAACTTCGACAAAAACTAGTAAGGCCCTTTATGAAACATCCCGTTCTGATTAAAGATGAATTATGTAAGACCTCTATTTGGCGAATACGGGTCTTTATTTGACTTTTAACGTTATATAAACGATTTTATAGACATTTATTCACATGATAAGCCTATAAATCGGATAGAACGGCTTCGAGACTTAAAAATTCAACGATAAATTGGACAATCGAGACTGTCTCGTTTGTCCAGTACTGTTGCTACGATAATAAACAATCTACGCTACATTCTTCCAACGCTCATAATTTCGCTAAGAATAAGGTATATTTAATATATTCATTTTTCATTTTAACTAGTAGGCCTATACATGTAGCTCTTTATCTAAATCTTACATAACGCATATTTATTACATGTCCACTGTTCAGTCAGATTTCTAGCATGCTTAGAAACCAAATTCAGAAGCTTTCATCAATTACATGAGGAATACGAACGGGCTTAGAGGATTCTCAAACGAAATTGTTGTTGTTCTTCTTCTTCTTAGTGTTTAACGTCCGCTTCCAACGAAGGTGATATCACAGACAAGTCTTATTTTTCATTTTTATTATCTTAGCGCACGGGTATTTTCCTGTGGGAGGAACCGGAGTACCTGATGTAAACCCACGAGGTTGAGAAGGCGCCCCCTATCTCCAAGCCACATACGCTCACACCAGGGCCCTGTTTCTCGAAATCTTAACTAAAGATAAAATCCAAATTTTAGTGGATACTTCAATTTTGATTGGCTAAGCACTAAAATCAACCTAATATTATCCAATATTAAATTACTAAAATTTGGATTTTATCTTAGTTAAAATTTCGTGAAACAGGCCCCAGGGATCGAAACCACACCCGTAAGCCAGAGGTATCCGGCCAACTAGAGGTCGAAGCGCGGCATTCTAAGACCACAAGGCCACCCCAACCTCTCTCAAACGACTATTGGCGAACATATCCAATGCCTCCAGATGAAGACTGACGGGTTAAAGTTGTTTGGAAACGTATCGCGTATATTGAGTTAGTTGCTCAGCCTTACGGTAGAGGATTTTAAGCGCTTTTATCACAAAATTAAGCAATTTTATTCTCCAAAATATAATCGAGATTGGCCTTTTAACGTCCTACTTTTCTGCAACGACTGGGCTAATGAAAACAGGTATATGCCATACAGTGTGATATGAAGTAAAATGAAATGAAATGGGGTTTAACGAGGGAGCTTTGGCCGGGACAGCGGCGCTGGCCTACCCTTATATCGAATTCCAAATTACCAGTTTTTTTCACGCGTAAGCCAAGGGTAGTGTACCTTTTGTAACTATAATTGTTCTTAAACTAAATGTTCAAATATATGTTTATATTGGGAACTGTGCAAAATATTGCAGCTACAGGGGGTAGCCCTGTTTACATCTCGTAACCTTGAAAAGATCTGCAGTTGGCTCTAATTTTACACAGGTGGACGCCGGTTTTTCGTTCCATCACAACGATTAGACGCGCCTTGCCTTGCCTTGCCCATTCCGGTGATCTTAATCTTAAACCAGCGACTGCCAGGCAGGATACGCCCTCATTTTCGAGAGATGGATAGAGAACAAGCTAACAAGAAAGTGATTTTTCCTACAATCAAGGGCCATAATTCAGGAAATTACAATTCGATATGCGCAAATATCGAAAGGAACTGAACAAACGGCAGCCATTTTGTCTGTCAATTTTGGGCCGATTTTCACGAAATTCGAACTCAGTCATCCTTAGGGTGTAACAGTGATATAATAGAATGTTTTTTTAAATCGGATAAAAATTATGACTTCTATAGGGTCCACAAGCTAAAACGTGATTTTTCGTACAATCAGAGGCCATAATTCAGGAAGTTACTGTCCGATATGCACGAATATCGAAAGGAACCGAGATCTTTGGGTCATAAACTTACATTTCAAGTTTCAACAAAATCGGATAAAAATTATGACCCCTATAGGGTCCACAACCATGATATACCATATTCTTATACGCTATTTGGGAACGAACGGCGGCCATTTTGTCTGTCAGTTTTGGCCCGATTTTCACAAAATTCGAACTCAGTCAACCTTAGGGTGTAACGGTGATATAATAGAATGTTTTTTTAAATCGGATAAAAATTATGACTTCTATAGGGTCCACAAGCTAAAAACGTGATTTTTCGTACAATCAGGGGCCATAATTCAGGAAGTTACGGTCCGATATGCACGAATATCGAAAGGAACCGAGATCTTTGGGTTATAAACTTACATTTCAAGTTTCAACAAAATCGGATAAAAATTGTGACCCCTATAGGGTCCACAACCTTGATATACCATATTCTTACGCTGTTTGTGAACGAACGGCGGCCATTTTGTCTGTCAATTTTGGGCCGATTTTCACGAAATTCGAACTCAGTCATCCTTAGGGTGTAACGGTGACATAATAGAACGTTTTTTTAAATCGGATAAAAATTATGACTTCTATAGGGTCCACAAGCTAAAAACGTGATTTTTCGTACAATCAGGGGCCATAATTCAGGAAGTTACAGTCCGATATGCACGAATATCGAAATGAACCGGGATCTTTGGGTTATAAACTTACGTTTCAAGTTTCAACAAAATCGGATAAAAATTGTGACCCCTATAGGGTCCACAACCTTGATATACCATATTCTTACGCTATTTGGGAACGAACGGCGGCCATTTTGTCTGTCAATTTTGGGCCGATTTTCACGAAATTCGAACTCAGTCATCCTTAGGGTGTAACGGTGATATAATAGAACGGTTTTTTAAATCGGATAAAAATTATGACTTCTATAGGGTCCACAAGCTAAAACGTGATTTTTCGTACAATCAGAGGCCATAATTCAGGAAGTTACGGTCCGATATGCATGAATATCGAAAGGAACCGAGTTCTTTGGGTTATAAACTTACGTTTCAAGTTTCAACAAAATCGGATAAAAATTGTGACCCCTATAGGGTCCACAACCTTGATATACCATATTCTTACGCTATTTGGGAACGAACGGCGGCCATTTTGTCTGTCAATTTTGGGCCGATTTTCACGAAATTCGAACTCAGTCATCCTTAGTGTGTAACGGTGATATAATAGAACGGTTTTTTAAATCGGATAAAAATTATGACTTCTATAGGGTCCACAAGCTAAAAACGTGATTTTTCGTACAATCAGGGGCCATAATTCAGGAAGTTACTGTCCGATATGCGCGAATATCGAAAGGAACTGAGATCTTTGGGTTATAAACTTACATTTCAAGTTTCAACAAAATCGGATAAAAATTGTGACCTCTATAGGGTCCACAAGCTAAAAACGTGATTTTTCGTACAAACAGGGGCCATAATCCATGAAGTTTCGATCCGATACATGCCAATATCGAAAGCAGCCGAGATTTTTTTGGGATAAAGCTATATTTCAAGTTTCGTCAAAATCGGACAAGAACTGTGACCTGTAGAGAGTCCACAAACAAATTGTGGACGGACGGATGGACGTACGGACGGACGTCCGGACGGACAGGGGCGACGGCATAATACGTCCACATGAAAATGTGGGCGTATAAAAATACGAAGAGCCCGGCGTATCACAATTAATTATTTGCTGAGTTATCGCCCCTGCCATTAAAATTATGTAATTGGTATACAGTTTAGAGTCTTCAAGACTTTTGTTCCAAATTAATGGACTGATAGGCAAGTGTCAAAATAGTCTGATAAAAATATTCAAGGGGAATGACCATTTCGATTATTTTCTACAATTGGGCAACATCATCTATACTATTCAAAAAAAGTAGGGGATATTTGATTTTGGGGGCATAATACTAAAATATGCAAATTACTACGAAAAAAGTCACTATAGAACCTAACAGAAGAAACATTTCCAGTTACATGTGACGCCCAAACGCACCAATAGCTACCGCATGGAATACAGGTGATGCTTGGGATCATCATGGGGGTCCAAACCAAGATTTGCACGACTCTGACTTTGAATGTTACAGTCATTGTGGCATTGAATTCCAGGGTGGAAACATCAGTTTAATTGTTTTAGTGACCAGAAAACAAATTTTGATATGCGTCGGCTTACCCAAAATGAAAGGTTACGTGCCCTTGCATGATACAGATCGGCACAACACAGGCGGTTGTGGCGCGGACGATGAATGTTTCTCAGTCTGTCATAAGCAGGCTATGGTCCAGATACCGTGATACACAATCTGTACAGGACAGACCACGCTCAGGTCGACCCAGGGCGACAACTCAAGCCCAGGATCGATTTATCCGTACCTTGGCCTTGAGAAATCGTGTCATCACAGCAAATCAGATCAGCGCTCGTCTTCAAACAGACACTGGTGTGAGAGTGAGTGGCCAGACGATTCGGAATCGACTGCATAGGGGTCACCTTCGCGCCCTACGTCCTCGCGTGATCCCTTGTTTGAGAGATCATCACATTCAGGCAAGACGTCGTTGGTGTAGGGATCGTCAACACTGGGATAATCGACGCTGGAGCAATGTGATGTTTTCAGATGAGTCAAGGTTCACTGTTGATTTTTTGGACAGACGTAGGAGGGTGTGGCGTCGTCGAAACGAGCGCTTCCAAGACGTTAACGTCATCAGACATGATCGATTTGGGGGTGGTTCTGTTATGGTGTGGAGAGGCATCACTGTTGCTGGAAGAACGGCATTACATGTTGTTGCAGGGCGTGTTACAGGCCAGTACTATCGGGACAACATCTTGGCAGTCCATGTTGTGCCGTTCGCACGACGTCATGGCCGCCGTTTCATCTTCCATGATGACAACGCAAGATGTCACAGGGCCAGGATCGTTACAGGTTACCTCCAACAACAGAACATCACCACATTACCTTGGCCAGCACTGAGTCCCGACCTCTCCCCCATCGAGCATGTCTGGGACATGCTTGGACAGAGGTTACGTCAACGTCAACAACGTCCTGCCAATGTCCAAGAACTTGCTGCTGCGTTGCAACAGGAATGGGACAATCTGGACCAAAATGACCTTAGACGTCTCATTAGGAGTATGCCACGTGGGATCAATGCTTGTTTGGCAAACAGAGGAGGATTTACCCGTTACTGACTTGGTTGTGATGCTGTGGTAACTTTGCTGTTTGACCCCGGGTATCATTTTACCCTTATAATGGTCAGTCTGTGCCTTACTTAGTCTAACGATCATTTGGAATAAATCGATGAATGTGAACTTCATTTCATTTTGTCATTTGTTTCTTCGTCAGTTTCATTAGGTGACTTTAATAACACTTAAAAATCAAATATCCCCTACTTTTTTTGAATAGTATATATGCTATGACGTTACTTTCGAAAGCGGCGTCTGTTACCTATGGTGTGTGATTGGTATAATGTCGTGATGTCGTGGTGTCGGCCTTCATAAGGCGACAACCCGACAATCCGACAGCACGACATTTTAACCCGACACTACACGGGTAAAAATGTCGTATTTTCTGGTTAAAATGTCGTGATGTCGGGTTATCGACCATATTCCTCTCAATACTATGATTATGTTCCCCAGCATTTTGCAGCGCGGTTTCTCCATGTCGGTAGTGCAAGAAAAAGGGCCTGGCAAAGAACAGTGTCTAGTATTGTAGATAGGACAAAACAACAACCTGAATGATAAGACCCTGGCTCGGGTTCGCCACCGGTGTTGGCCGAGAAATTTCATCAATATTTTCAGGTGTGGTTTCCCCTTGTCAGGGTTACGGAAAGGAGGGCTTGACAAGGTCGTTCGGATGGAACGAAAAACCGAGGTCCCATGTATACATTGGCGTGCACGTAAAAGATCCCTAGGCAATTGAAATTCGATATAAGTGCATGCCTTAGCGCCACTGTCCGGGCAAAATGTCCCTCATAACACACTGAATGGTATAAGCCCGTCTTCTTAAGCCCAGTTGGAGCAGAACAGCAGGACATTAAACTCCATTTCATTTCATTTCATTTCCGACTGGGCTAATGAAGACGGGCATACCCTATATATTGTACAATGAGGGAAACTTTACCCGGATAGCGGCGCTACGGCCTACTCTTATAGTGAATTCCAACTGTCAGGAGGTCTTTTACGTGCACACCAATATGTAAATCAGGCCTCGGTTATTCGTCCCATCCGAACGTCTATACGTTATCCCTAGTCAGCCCCCCCTCCGCCCGTCCTGCACCGCCGTCAAAGAGGAATCACTCCGGAAATGGAGTTTAATATTTTTCTGGTAGCCACGGTGACTCAGTGAGTAAGACGTTGGCTCGCTAACTTTGGGGTTTGGTGTTCGATCACTGCGTTGGCTGAGAAAGTTCATCGGGAATTTTCCTTTGTGATTCCTCTTTACAGTGGTACAGGCCGGAGGGCCTGGCAGTGGATAACGTATAGTCTTTTGGATGGGACGAAAAATCGAGGTTCCGTGTAAATATTAGCGAGCACGTAAAAGACCACCTGGCTGTTGGAAATCAATATAAGAGTAGGCCGTAGCGCCGCTATTCGGGTTAAGTTTCCCTCCCTGTACACTGTATAGCGTGTGTCCGTCTTCATTAGCCCAGTCAGAGCAGAACACTAATTGGGCTATTGAAGACAGGCATACGCTATGCAGAGTGCTATGACGGGAATTTTCAATGGACCGTGGCATTTCTTCGTCGGAATTTAACTGTGAAGAATTATTTTATGTGCACGCCAAATGTGTACACGGGAGCTTGTTTTTTTGCCCCATCTACACAACTAGACACTGTTGTGGTGTCGGGTTAAAATGTCGTGATGTCGGGTTGTCGTCTTATGAAGGGCAACACCACGACATGATACCAATCTGCCACCATAGTTACCTCACGGTACTTCCCGCCCCCAAATCGCGAATAGGCCTACTCTCCAAAACTTGACATAAAATGTAACTTCAATCACTCTTCTGCGATTCTATACCACAAAGTCGACACGAATACGGAACAGTGATTAGATATGAGAGAACTAATATTAGTTAAAGTTCAGAATTGTGTGCCCGGATGTGTTCCTGTCCAGACTTCAATATGACTCCACTAAATGTACACTGAAGTTTACCTTTGAAATGTTGTTTATTCAATTGTTATTACATTATTGTTTATTCAATTGTTATTATTTTATTACTATGTTTTATAAATAAAGATTGTGCTATAGTACAGTCAGATCACGAGCGGATTGGTTTTTAATTTGTTGTGGACGTTGGTCCATTTCTATTTCTGATGAATTCTATAGTTTCTGGCAGATCACACCTAAAATGAAAAGTAGAAATCGATTAAAGACGGTTAGACATGACGCTTCGGTATCAGCCGGGCTGGATTAAGGTTGCATGGGTGGGTCCCTGGCTGAAAATGTCACTGGGGCCCTTGCATCAACAGTAAATAAGGAGCATATTCTGGGCATTGTCCGTCACACTAGCACAAATACAATTTGTATGTCAGTATGGTAGGTAGATAGATTTATTTGGCACAAATGTATGCAACATAATAAATAACATATTTACTTATGGTATAAAATTTGGTTTATAAGTAATTTGGGGGTCCTTTATATATTGGGGTCTCCGACTGCAGCCCAGTCAGCCCCATCCGCCCCAAACTTTTATTCCGAACCTGAATATCAGGTCTCTGACAAAGTAACAAAGGGGAACAAATATCCAAATGGCCCAATTCTTTAACGATTCATAAAAGTCCACAAAATAACGACATTGTCAAGAAAAGCAAGCAGAGACCGAGGGGCTTATGTGAAGTTACAATAAATCACACCAGAGACCAGTGGCTAATCAGAAGGCAAATGTAATATTATTGTATGCATATATACCCATCTCTGTTTGCTATTGCCATTACACTTAGCTTCAACCTTCAATTTCTGGAAATAAAATCAAATCATTTTTCATTGTCGAGAAGTGTGACTAAGGATACGATTGCGGATGTGAGGGTAGGGGTCTGTGGTGTAGCCATAGCTTTTCAGCTTATTGTGGTAGAAGTGTAACCTCAACTTACTTAAAGGGGCAGTAGGAAGATTAAAGATACATTAAGGGAAATTATATAAAGAGCTCACAGTTCTCACTGCAATAGTTAAAAACTAGATAATGTAAAGGGCATTTGCTGAAAATATCAGTCAAATTGATCCATTCTGAACCGAAAATTTAGCGATTGAATTTTGGGCCTGGCCCCGATCATCATTACTGGAGTCGGTACGATAAAATATATAGTCTCGATTATCCATTTCTTGATTTAATCACGAATGAGCGTAGAGCAGCAGATCGGATCCTAATCTAATAACTATCGCAGGCTAGCGATTACATCGATAGTTGATTATGGTCTGGATAAGTTAATTAATGTCTAATTAATAATCTAGATAACATTTCAGGCCTAAAGAAAGGCCTGCAAGATTTAGCTCTTGCATAATGTATGTTTAAGATAAAGAGCTAAGATAATAGTTAAAGAATAGATAACGTAAGGAGAATATGCTGAAAATTTCGAGAAAACCAAATTTCAAAATGTCTGTAGCCTCGATTGTCATGGTTACAGTTGTCATGATAATAAAAAAAGTCTCGATTATCCATTTTTACGGTTAATCATGATCGGGTTCAAATCTGTTTAAAATCGTATACCCATCTGATGGTATCGAGAATTGATGATTATGGTCTTGCCATTTTTAATAAAATGTATAATTAATGTGTATTTTTAATGAATAAATGAGGTAAATGGGGTTTAGTGTCCTGATTTTCTGCTCCAGCCGGTCTAATGAAAATGGGCATACGTCAGACAGTGTGCTGTCAAAGAAATTGGATTTCAACTATCTGTGATTCTTTAACATGCACGCCCCCATTTCTTTGCTTACTGTTATTGCATTATAGTATTTTTGGATTTGCAATTCTATAATTTGAGAACAGACTTACCATAGGTGGTAATTTGGCCATCGTTGTTTTCATCGACGGAATTAACGAAATCATCAATGTTACCAAATCCAGTCGGATTTCTATTCCTAAGAAACAACATAATTTCTCTGAACACGTCTGTCTCTACAAGAAAATGCTCAACAGTCTGTGGACGTTGTAAGGAATTTGCGTCTACCACTAGGCCTACATTCACTGAAAAAAATAATCAACCGAGAGGTTATTAAATATCAGAGGAAAGAATTTATTATAAATTGTAAGTAGCAGACATTTTCGTAATATTCATGATTGTCGAAATTATATCGACTTACTCTTATATCGAATTCTAACCACATGTTGTCTTTTACGAGCACGCCAAGGACCTCGGTTTTTCTTCCAATCCAAACGACTATACGTTGTCCCTTGCCAGGTCCTCCGTCCAATACAGGCATAGGCGTACGAGCTAGGGGGGCGGGGGGGGGGGCAGCTGCCCCCCTAACTTTCGGGCAAGCTGACTTTTCGGGCAGAAGGGTAAAGTGAAAACAAATTTTTTATTTCATCTACTTGGCAAAATAAAGTGCCCGAAATCTAATAAAACACTAATTTTACTGGCTGGAATAGCAGTAAAACCCGTTTGCGGCCGACAAATATTCCAAAATTTTCTTCGGGGGTCCATATAAGGTCAGTTCTGCTTCTTCACCTCTCGAAGAAAACCGGCGCCGCTGTCTGTAAACCCGAAATTTTTTCTGGCATTTCTACTTTTTCCTCCCTAACTGTCATTGAGCCCTAATAAAACACTAATTTTATTTTTATTTTTATTGAATACCACAAATTTGTACTGAGTTGACTATGGATTAAAACATTTTGTCTGGAGCCACTCTACTTTGTGCGACATTTTTCGAGCATCGATTATTATTTGTGAATGCAGCTGCAACGGTCTGATTGGATGGTTGGACTTCAGAATGGGATTTTGGTTACAAAACCATTGGATACTTTTGGAGTTGCTTACACGGGCTAGAATAGCAGAAAAAGCATTTGCGGTGGTTAGATTTTCAAAATTTTCTCGGGGAGGGTGAGGCCCCCCATACCCCGCGACGATTGATTGGTTTTTTGGAATTCGGGTCAGCCAGGTAGGCTATATTGGACCAAATTGAAGTTGCTGTATTCACAGACTGGAATAGCAGGAAAACGCGTTTGCGGCAGTTAAATTTTCAAAATTTTCTCCAAACGGTTCCGTCTCCGTGGACTGTAAACGATTGATCTTTTGATTGGAATTCGAGTCAGCCATCTTAATTAGGCTATATTAGACCACTTTGAAGTTGCTTTGTTCACGAGCTGAAATAGCAGGAAATTATGTTTGCAGCCGTCAAATATTCAAAAATTTTCTTGGGGGGGGGGGGGGGGGGCGGGGGGTCAATACAAGCGGAGCTCTGCTTCTTCGCCTCTCGAGGAATATCGGCGCCGCTGTCTGTATACCCGAAATTTTTTCGGGCATTTCGGGTTCTGCCCCCCTAACTGTCATCGAGCCCGTACGCCTATGAATACAGGGATCGGGACCTCTTAGTTGTTCAGTCAGCGCCTCTGAGTCACTATCGAAGAGGTGGTGTCGATATAAAATTGTTCCTGTTCAATAGGGACAATTTATTATACTCTTAAAAGAGCAGTCAGCAGGAAGTCAGTGTTATCTTCTCTTCAACAAGGGCTGGATGCTGAAACAAAAGCTTACCAAATCCAACGTGTAAACATTATCCCTGCTACACATTCTTTGTTTTGGCCATTAATCGTCTGGGGTTGCAGGCATGTATAATTTTGTAGCCTTCCAATCGTAGACTTCACGTTTTTGCAATTATTGATTGATACAGACAAGTGGGGCGTTAAACCCTATTTCAAATAAAGCCCGAGTAAAATAATATTCCACGCTTTACTTTCGTTTAAATCATATTCCTTGAAGTTGGAGTAATTTTAGTAACAGTTATTCCGAAGTAAGATCCGGGTACAACAGACTGCAAATTTAAACTAATAATTGTTTTTTTTTTTAAATATCCACAAAATGCATCTAACGCCTATCATAAAAACTGCCCTTTGTGCTCGTAAGCTCGCTGTAAACCATTAGTAATAAAATGAAAATTACATGTAGAGCAACGGAATCTCCGAGGTTTGTCGAGTGATAGAACAACGAAGTTTTCAGCGTCCATCTCTCTCCACAAAGTAAATTTTAATTGCGTTTTTTACATCTCGGAGAAAGAAAACCTTTATTTTGTTATTGAAAATTATACAAGGAGAAGTCTGCTGAAAAAACAAATGTGCATTAAAGACATTTTCAGCGCGCATTTCTGTTTCCACAAAGGTCTTGTTAATTGCTCATTTAACATCTCGTTTAGCGATTTCGGAAAAACAAAATATTATCTCATAAAATATTCTCCATGATTTAAATCTGAGATAAATCAACTTACCCATTTGGATAAATATAAGATATAACAGAACAATTTTCACCCTCTTTCTCTGGACGTTCGTCATTTTTTTAATATCTTTCGAGACTGACTAGAACAATAAGCGGAACAAATTGTGAACAGATAATACAGTGGGTTGATTTTAAAGTTCTGAAACCGGAAATGATGTTTTATTTCCATATATATTACAGTGGCAGGCAGATATTTAAAGGAGTGGGCTGAGGAAATAATCGTCAGGGAAGCAGTGCCATATGTCTCATTACGTCACAAAGAGTGGCTTGATACAATTACAGGACGATTTGGTAATGTATTCCCTGTCTGAAAATGTCAAATCAAATATTAAACTGTTCGGAAATTGTCGCTAGATTTCCATAACTGGGTTATGTATGTAACTCATTTAATATTTATTTCATTCTTCAATTGAAGGGGGTTTTGTTGCCGAATGGTGCAACGCGTGTGCGTTAGACAAGGAGTTGAGTCGCTTGTCCAGCCTTGTGGGTTTTCCACGCGTCTTCCAGTTTCCCCCACAGTTACAGAACCCTAAGCTCAAGCGAATTATTGAAATAAAACTGACAATATGTTAGTCTCGAACTGACCTAGTTTATGTACCGTGGAGTGAACGTTAACCCCCCCCCTCACCTCTCTTCTATATCAATAAATCTGTTATCAATCGATGATGCTAGTGCAATAACGTGGACAAGTGCCATTGTTTTAAAAAAAAATCATTTGATTTTTTAAAAATAAATCAATTTTTAGCAGATTTCTTTAACAATATGATTAAAACACGGATTCTATTTCGTTTCGTTTTTTATAGTTCAAAGTTTCGTTTTACTTTTCTACGCTAGGATTTGGAAGAGTTGTTATCATTAACGTGTTCTGGATGTTGTGAGGAATTAGCCAATGAAACGGTCTGTTACGGCGAATTCTAGGCCTTTGATACACAGAACTGTGGGTAAATCACCAGAAAAGTCAAGGCTGGTTGATTTTAATCAATGTCTAAAGTCATAGGGTCAAAAGCCGCTCGTATGACCTCTTAACGCGACCTCCCAAAACAACTGGTCAGATCTTCATGTAGTGCCATCGAAAGTATAAAAAACGAAACGAAATATAGATCTGTATTTTAATCAGATTGATTTTCTTAATCATTTACATCACAGTATATGTCAATTTTAGTGTTTGGTCTAAAAAAATATATGCAAAAATACTATTTTTGGCTGATTGTGTGAAATGGCACTTTAGCATCCTCAATTATGTTACTACGGGGATCATTTGTTACATCTATTCATTAAAAATACCAGGAGAAATACACACCACAAATTCAAGTCAATTCCTTTTAAAATTTCTTTTTTATTGGTATGAGGATTGTAAACCATCCTATTAGATTTAATTGCTCGGATTCAATACGAATTCTGGGAAATAAAAATGTAACATACACAGTATTTTTAATATTTTGGATAATGGAGCTTCGGACTAATGAGCTAATCCATGAGCACTGTCGATTATACTTATGCCATCTGGTATCCAGTCAAAACTATACACTTTCTTTTTTTTAAATTTAAGTGCAAAAAAACAAAGTTGTTTTTCAACCAGAGATAGATCGCTTGTCAAATCGCCGAACCAGAGGCATGCTTCAAGCCCAACAAGCCGACGAACAAATTAGAACTTCCAATTGTATGTTTTTGAAATAATTTTACTTTTATCTATTATGACTACAGCTTTTATATGCCGTTATGATTTTTTTTTTCGATTCCGGACCCCCTCTGAAGGTGTCAAAATTTTCAGTTCTAATTCAGCGATAATTTCGTGTTCAAAATGTTTTTGAAATAATTTCATGAGTAGTTTTTACATGTTTCTGTACATTTTTTCTATTTCCGATTCTTGCCTCCTTACAGTCCCAAAGTGCAGGAAATAGCGGCGGTCAAATTTCAAAATTTTCAGGGGATGCTTCCCCGTTGTCTGTGGTGCAGGACAGGGGACATGGCAGGGTCCCGTGTACACATAAAAGAAACCCTGGCAGTTGGAATTAGCGCCGTAGTGCCGCTGTCCGGGCAAAATTTACCTCATAGCACACTATGACCTATGCCTGTCTTCATTAGCCCAGTGGGAGCAGAACAGTACGACGTTAGACCCCATTTTATTTCATTTTGAAAAGCTCAACACCGTATCTATATATATATTTGTGACTGTCGTTTGTCTGTCTGTCGGTCTGTCTGTTCGGGGTTGGCGGCTACACTAGGTCTGCCCCGAGTCTGAAATTTGGGGTCTTGGGGTAGCTCGGACCGGGGAGTAACATAGGCCAGGTGGCGTTAGTCTACCACTTCCGGTTTCGGAGTTATGACCCCCGAGCGAAGCCGGTCTGTCCGGGGTTGGCGGCTACACTAGGTCTGCCCCGAGTCTGAAATTTGGGGTATAGGGGTAGCTCGGACTGGGGAGTAGCATAGGCCAGGTGGCGTTAGTCTACCACTTCCGGTTTCGGAGTTATGACCCCCCGAGCGAAGTCTGTCTGTTCGGGGTTGGCGGCTACATCTGCCCCGAGTCTGAAATTTGGGATATAGGGTAAGCTCGGACCGTGGAGTAAGATAGGCCAGGTGGTGTTAGTCTACCACTTCCGGTCTGTTTAGGGTTGGCGGCTACACTAGGTCTGCCCCGAGTCTGAAATTTGGGGTATAGGGGTAACTCGGACAGGTTTTGAACTTATGACCCCCGAGCGAAACCGGGTATCCTGCTAGTAACTAATATTAAATGCACGACTCATATAATTTTAATGGGACGCGTTTCCTCTTTATGCAGCTCTGACCTTCACAGCTCTCACAAGGTTTACATGACATGGACAAATGCAAGGGAAGGAAGGAAGCCCGCGAAAAATCGACGGATGTCTCATTAGTCGATTCGGTGTTCCTATATAAGTTGATGGATCTTAAATTTTATAAGGATTCATATGGTGGCTGATAGTGGCCATGTTAAATCTCGCCCTTTTCATAACGCGACATCACGACATCACGACAGTATTGGCGCAATCATACGACACTTAACTCTGTCGTATCATCGTGTTATTTTTATCCTAACGTCGAGATGTCGACTTATTGGCATAGTCTCTTTCTACAAGTCACAAAAATACAGCTGTACTCATTACACTCATTACATCAGATTAGATACAATAAGACTCGTCAAAAGAGATAATAGGAAAGTGTTGATTAATTATTCGTTTTCTCAAAATAATGAAACATTTTGCGCCCAAAATTGAATTATTGGTATTATATTCAAAAAATCTAGAATTATAATAGCAGGACAAAAGTGAGTCAGCTATGTTAATTCCTTGAATAAGAAGTGGTGTCGGTAGGTATCGAACAAGCATGCATTGCCTCGCGTACGACACCCACCAATACTTATAGTTTACTGAAGCGATAGTTTAGAAGCGATTTCAGAAGATTTCCAATTTATTTTTATTAGAGTGGGAAGGGGATTATATAAAACCTCAAATAGATTTAACATGGCCACTATCAGCCACCATAGGATTCAAACGGTCAATCATTGTGAAATTGCAGATATCCTGGGTGTTATATACAGGTACTATGGGGCCCTAGTTATTGTCGTAGTAAGTTTACTGTATATTTCTGGGTCCATTTTAACGTGCCTCTGGATAAAAAAATCCATGCTTTGAAAAAATGCTATGTAGCCTTGTGAATATGGCAAGATTAATGTTGACGTATCCCCACCACCTAAAACTACATAGCAGAACGTCATCCGGTGCAGGTGACAGAGAAGGTTCGTTTGCCTTTGGATCGACTTAGGATGTTTCTTTGCACTGTTAATGATAAAGACACGCGGTTCTGTTATATTTTGGTATAAGCGTGATATCGTGTAGCGGTTCTAGATGCTGCGTATAGGGGGTGGGGTCCAAATCTAGGGCTCCATCCACAATCCCACCCCACAATGTATGTCAACAAAATACTGGTACACTGTCTGAGCGCCCTGGTAGAAAATAGATCGAATTGCCTATATAGTTATTCGTGGATCATTATCTCACAGAATAGCAGTTTTATTCAAATTAATATATGTTCATGTCATATTATGATTGTTATTGATTTTTGTCAACCTTAGAAAAGTGACTATATAACACTGAGCAAGCTGAAGGGGGGGGGGGAAGAATGATGATATAATGAAATCAAGTTAATTAATGGAATTTCAGACAGCTAGTACAATAATTATGTAACTGAAGTTTTTGCGACATGTCATTTATGACTGGGTCTGAAGGGACTTTGTCTCACGGGGGCGCTTACTTGGTTTCGAGTTTGCTCCTTGTGTTGACATCGATCGAATGTTCCTTCGGAGTGGTTTCTTCTTGCCAGTGTCTAGTCGTTGGAATGAGGCAAAAAAACAACCTCCCATGTACACATTGGCATGCACATAAAAGATCCCTTGACAGCTGGATATCGATATAAAAACCCTGTTTACATTACAAATTTTAAGCGTGCCAGGTACGGTCAAACATAAGCGTGCCGTACTAAGTAGTACCGTGCCAATTTGGGCCATCGAAGGGAGGTGGACTCGGCATCCTGCCAGGCACGGCACAGTTAAATTTTTTTAGTGTAAACGCCGTCCAGTCTGAGAACAGTTCTCAGTACAGATTACTACGAAGATGCCAAAAGAACCTTGACCTTTTTTACTGCAAACTTTGTCAGTTCTGTCAAAATGGCTGCCCAAACTAAATCAACTGCCACAATTGTTTTCATCCGGGTAATTTGCATAGGCGCTGAAATTAACTTTTCTGTGAAGAGTTCCACAGATAGTTGCTTCAGGCCCTCTTGTCTAATAATTAATAAGTATTATAATGTGACTCTGTTTCATAACTCTACACTGTATCTCAAAAAGCACGATTGCACCTTTATCCAAGGGAATGAAGGCTATGAATTTTCTTTCTCGCCCTCTGAATCCCCCCCTCCCCCATGCAGACTTGCTCTCAACCACAACCGGCTCTCCAGGCAAGTTTCCTAGGAAAGGAAACAGTCTGCTATATCACCCTCGACTGGAAGCCCTACGAACGATCAGATGACACTTCCAATGGTTTGTAAGGAAATAACAACTGTACTTTTTAGACATCACAGCGATTTTTGCAGTACTTGAAACTTTGATTGATTATTTTAAACAAAATATTTAGTGACTGAGGAATTACACTATTATAAAATATCTATTTTCTTTAGAGATACATTTCCACCAAAATATTCATCAGGCATTTATTTTCAATAAAAGTATGACAATTTTGGAAGTAAAGACAACCCTGATATTGAAATGATTTATCTATAGTTGCTGCCCTTATGGTATAAGGAATAAATATGCCAAGTTCCAAAATGATCCATTCAGAACTCCGGCCTGTAAACACAAAGATAGGTTAACAGGCAACGAAACATACGCCCACAGCAGCTAAATCGTCCGGGCAGTCAACAAGAGTTGTCGCATAATTTTACTGTTTTTGATAATGAAACATTTATAATACATTAAAATCTGATTAAGAGTAACAACTCATTAAGTAATTATCAGAAAACCATTAGAATTTGTTTGGTTTTTATAAAGTTCTCCCCCATGCTAACATTTAGTATGCGAAACTTTTAACATCATCGATTTAGCTCTTCAAGTCACAAAAATTCATTCAAAATCAACATACTTGTTCGTCTCAAGACCTTAAACTCTGTGTATTAATCTTAAGTCAATCGGATGATAACTTTAGCCTCTAGAGCGTCACAAGATTTTTCAAAGCGATGAAGGGCCATAACTTTGGCAGTAATTATCGGATATCGTTGAAAATCAATATGATTCTTCGTCTGATGATCTTAAATACTGTGTATAAATTTAAAGTCAATCGGATATTAACTTTGACCTCTAGAGCGTCCACAAGATTTTTCAAAGTGATCAAGGGCCATAACTCTGGCAGTAATTATCGGAAATCGCTGAAAATCAATAGGATTCTTCTTCTCATGACCTTAAACACTGCGTATAAATTTAAAGTCAATCTGATATTAACTTTGACCTCTAGAGCGTCCACTAGATTTTTTGAAGTGAGCAAGGGCCATAACTCTGACAGTAATTATCGGAAATCGCTGAAAATTAATCCACTAGGGATTGTGGATGCTGGACCAACGGACGAATGGACGGGAGCAACGACAATATACGACCACATTTCAATGTGGGCATATAAAAATTGGTCATGGCTCTGCCCCTGGGGGTTGGACATGGACCAAAATAAAGAGGTACAAAAACCTGTTATTGAAATAATTGGTCATGCCAAATTTGAACAAAATCTGTTAATATTTGCACCATGTTGAGAATTTACAGACAAAATATTAACAAAAAGTGGGCTAGGCACCCAAATCATTAGTTGCTGTCCTTATGATTTAAGGAATAAATATGCCAAGTTCCAAGACGAACCATTAAGAATTGCAGGCTGTACGTGACAAAAAGAAACAAACGGCCATTTTGTCGGGCAGTATCCGTTCGATTTTCACGAAATTCGAACTCAACTGTCATTATGGTGTAACAGTGATATGTTTACACGTTTTGTTTTAAACCGGATCAGAATTGTGAATTCTAGAGTGTCAACAAGCTAAAAAGGCAAAGTTTCCGATAAAAATTGTGATCTATAGAGTGGACGGACCTCCTGGCAACATTTATATCCACACGAAAATGTTGGTGTATAAAAATGAGCGTGGTGCTGGTTCTGGGGGTTGGGCAAGCACCAAAAACAATAGGGATCATCCTTAGGGTATAAAGAACAAGCCAACTTAGTCAAAGGTATAATATGATAAAACTATACACCAAGTGTCCTCACTTTCACTTAATTAGAACTAAAGTTATCGTGACCCAAAGCATCAACCAATCAAATTACTTATCTCTGCTTACCCTAAGCGAGAGAGTGAGAGAGAAATGTCCACTCGACACAAACTAGGTCACTTCGGGATTAACATATGGTTTAATTTTATTTACATAATTCGCTTGCGCGTAGGGGTCTTTAGCAGTGGGATGAAATCTGAAGACCCGGAGAAAACCCACGAGGTTGGACAGGCGACCCTACTCTTTGTCATGTACAACCGGGGATTCGAAACCACGCCAGTCGACTCAATGACAGACTTTATGATACAGCGCGCGCACGCTAACCATTCAGCCATCCAACCCCCCCTTACCCTAAGCAAAAAATTCTCATCTTCGAACTCCACCAAGTGTGAACAATCTAGCTCAATTAGAATGAGAGTAATTGTGTTCCAAAGTTTCGACCAATCAAATTGCTTATCGCTCTGCTTACCCTGAGCAGAAAATGCTCATTATCGATCTTAGTCAAGGTATTGATGTAATAAAACTATACACCAAATTTCATCACTCTCACTTAATTAGAACTAAAGTTATCCCAAAACATCAACCAATCAAATTGCTCATCTGTGCTTACCCTACAAAGACACTGACCTAAAGACACTGACCTACAAGGCACTGACCTAATAAACACCAACACCAAGTTTGAACATTCTACCTCAATTCGAAGGAGAGTTATCATGTTCCAAAGTTTTGGCCAATCAAATTGCTTATCGCTCTGCTTACCCTGAGCTGAAAATGCTCATTATTGAACTTAGTCAAGGTATTGATGTAATGAAACTATACACCAAGTTTCATCACTCTCACTTAATTAGAACTAAAGCTATCGTGTCCCAAAGCATCAACCAATCAAAATGCTTATCTCTGCATACCCTAAGCAGAAAATGCTCATCTTCGAACTCCATCAAGGCATTGACCTATTAAACACCTACACCAAGTTTGAACATTCTGGCTCAATTAGAAGGAGAGTTGTTGTGTCCCAAAAAGTGTGACTGACGAACAGACAGACGAACCCATTTTAATAGTCCCCTGCTTTCTTCGAAAGGCAGGGTGACAATACGTATGCAAAGTTTCAAGACGATCCATTAAGAATTGCGGCCTGTAGGTGACACACAGAAATCATTTTTGTCTAAATACTTTATCATCAAATCACAGTTTCTACCAGGAAGGCATCTTTAATAACATGAAAACTGTATTCATATATGTATTAAACACAAAGTTGAGGGTAATGAAATGCATATATGACCTTGCTTAGTTATAATTTATGTTCATGAAACCTGATAAAAATATCATTTATCTTACACATTAGTACATCTTATAAACAATTAAAAAAACAGTATATTTTATGAAATAAATTAGAATAATTACAACAGGTGAACAACAATTATAAATTATTGTGTATGTCACATATACTAGAATAAATGGGTCATTTTTACTGAGTGCCAAACTGGTGCATTTACTTATTGACAATGTAAGCATTTTGATCTCGTATTTCAAATGGCTAAATATTCCACAAAAATTCTTTTGGAAGCAATCATTTGTAATTTTCTAAACAAACACAAATTCGGACACATTTGCAGTTAGAATTTACTCAATAAGATGCTATCCGAGCGTTGGGGTTCGTGCTAGGTATGTACTTTTTTGATACTGATGCAGTATTTACTACATACTCAACTGAAGGCCTTAATAAATCTAAATTATATGAGAATATTTCTTAAAATGAAATTCGTTCGATGATGCTGATAATTCAGTTATGTAACTATAAAAGAATTTCTCTGTTCACTAAGTCCAGCTTAATTCCACTATCAATGATTACATATTACAAATTTTTTTAACAAATTTTGCCTTAAAATGTTACATGTATTTACAAATCTTTAATGCAAAAAATACAAATGAATAATTAAAACATACTTGTTAGGCATATGCTAACTATGCAACATTTATTTTAAGATCTTGTTGTGTGGAGACGGTATACTATATGTTTGTTATAAATGTCAGCCAATTTGAATCCAATACTTCAGGGTTTTTTTTTAAGGTCCTTGCATGTGAGCTATCCAATTAACAATATTTTTGATGTGCATCAGATAAACAAATGGTCATCAGCCAGGGACTAATATATAAAAATCCATTCATATTGCCAATCTCAATCCCAGAGATAAGTTTACCCTTCATTTATCGGCAGCATTTCATTCTAACAAATCCTGCCAATCAGTAGCCACCAGGGGCGGAGCTAAGGAACCAATTTCACACTGATTAATGGCTGGCGATTTTTACCAGAGATAAATGAAGGGTAAAGTTATCTCTGGGATTGAGACTGTCATATTGCACCCCTTTACAATCCATGGGACATTAAAGGAGGAAAGTCTTTAACTCAATACCATCCACAGTCTTCGACATTGCAAACAAGACTTATTGGTCAATTTAAATTAACATTGATGTTGTTATCTTACCGTGAAAAGATGGGCTTCTGATATCCATATTTAAGACAAAATTAAAATTGGCACACGAATTGTGTGCCAGAATGCTTTTGAGCGGCATGTGTAATGAAGCAACTCAATGAATGAGGCTAAACGTACCCCACAGAATACTACCGGTGTAGACTTGAATAACCAGATACCAAAGACTATTCAATTTGGACACTTTGCATATATCGCCAAACATAACTGATTAGAAATAACAGTTAAAACAGAAACGGCTGAATGCAAATCAGTTTATATACATTCATATTACATTATTATATGCGCTGTGACCAATTTATGGACCTTTCTATGTGCCAAAGAATAGAGATTTAGCTCCTTTAATCACAGTTCATGTTCTATTGAGAATTTTTGAAAAAGGGAATATTACAATACAAATTACTTTTACCAGAATAACTAAAACGACTCTACTTCAGTATAGCAGACTCTTCACTCCAAATTACATACTAAAATAAAAGGAAAACGCTGTAAAACAGGGGCCTTGTTCACACCTTAAATTAAAATAATTTAAGAATTCAGTCCTTTTATTGGCCAAGAGCTAAAATTTGTTCTAGGATTTCAACTCTCAACCAATGAAAACATTGCATTTTTAAAATATTTTAGTTTAAGCCACTATGCTTGATTTTAGCAATATAGAATCACTTGCAAGCTACCATATGTACAAATATATGCTGAATTGAAAATTCCATTGATCTATGCTGCTCACTATGCCATTATCTATATTTGCTGTGAACCAATTTTCTTAATTAAATAAGTCAACAGTGAGACTGATGTAGATGACACACAGTTTTTAATTGCATATTTATCCTTTAATAAAGCATCAATCATTTTGCTTATCAGTGCTTAATGTGAGCAGAAAATGCTCATTATTGAAGCAGAAATATGTTCCGAAAGGTGACAGACGACCAGATGCATTTCTGAAACTATAGGAAATGCACATTATCGAACTTAGTCAAGGTATTTATGTAATGATATATGCCAAGTTTCACCATTCTTACTCAATTGGAATCAAAGTTGTCAAGCTCCAATGTCTTGACCAATCAAATTGCTCATCATCGAACTTAGTCTGAGTATTCAAACTTGCGTCAAGGTATTGATGTAATGATATATATATATATATATATTATATACGCCAAGTTTCACCATTCTCACTCAATTAGAGTCAAAGTCTTGACCAATCAAATTACTGATCATTGAACTTAGTCATGGTATTGATGTACTGACTCTATACTCCGAGTTTGATGTACCGTAATGAAACTATACACCAAGTTTCACTCAATTGGAATCAAAACATATGAAACTATACGAAATGTGCATTATCAAACTTAGTCAAAGTATTGGTGTAATGATATGCACTAAGTTTCACCATTCTAACTCAATTAGAATCAAAGTTGTCAAGCTCCAAAATCTCGATCAATCAAGTTGCTTAACCTGAGCTGAAAATGCCAATTATCGAACTTAGTCAATGGAATTAATGTAATGAAACTATAGACCAAGTATTAATTAGAAGCAAAATTATTGTGTCAAAAGATATACAAAAAATTGCATATCTCTGCTTAGTCTAAGAAGAAAATGCTCATCATCGAACACAGTCAAGGAATTCACCTAATAAACACCTACACCAAGTTTGAAAATTATAGCTCAATTAGAAGCAGTTATTGTGTCCCAAAAAGTGTGATGGACAGACAGACGGACGGACCCATTTTAATAGTCCTCTGCTTTCTTCGAAATGATAAACAATCTGAGTACATATTAGCAGGGATTTAGCCATAAGAAATTAAAAATTTTCTGCAAAAGACAAATTATCAATGTTGCTTTAATTTTTTAGGAATAAGGCCCATGTTATCTACATGATATGTTATATTGTGAAGAATCATTTATAGCCTAATTCATGATTTATTAATGTGGAATCCATTCATAGTCAATCATAACAATTTTTTTTAATTCCTTCACTCTACGTCTAGATTTAGATAAAGAGCTGATGGTTCTTTCAAAAATAATTCAAAAATAGATAATGAAAAATTAAAATTTCATTCAAACGACTTTATTCTGAGCAAAGTTATGGGTGTTAGAAGATGTAGCGCAGATTGTTTATTACTGTAGCAAAGGTACTGGACAAGTGAGACTAGAGAGTTGATTATTGGCTTGTCATGTTAATAAATGTCTAAATAATAGTTCATATAACATTTGAAGCCAAAATAAAGACATGCAATAGGCAGATTTAGCTCTTACCATACTTGTGGTCATCTGATTTTGAGGAATTCATTTTCTTCTATTTTATAATTTACAGTCAATCATAAATCTATTTTAATTCCTTCATTCTATAAATTGTCCTGATCCCTCAGTAAATTAAGTAATAAAATATGTTTAAACTATAACTACAACTTATATTTATCCCTCATCAGATTTTGTTGTCTTCTCATGATTTTTATCTTCCTCACTATCATGTTCTCTTTTGTCCGTACTTGTACTAGGCGTTTTGTACTTCTCCAGGTCCCCATTCTCTTCGGTATCTATTTCCTTGTTTGGACTGTCACACTCCATTATATCTGCAGCATCAATACTATTTTCTCGACTACTGTCGTGTATATCATGTTCTACAACTTCATCTTTGAACATATGTTCAGATTCGAAGTCTGCTTCTTCGTCTTCAGATTCAGAATGGTTGATGCCTTCAAATGATTCCATTATATACTGGAAGAGACCAACCTTTTTCTTACGTGACCAGGAGAGCAGAACATTTCTGTAGTATTGATCTATCACATTAATCAACACTCCTGAATAAAAACAAATTGAAATAATGACAGTACCTGAAAAATACTTAGGATATTTCAAGTGCCGAGTCAAATGTCATATTTTAGCAGATTTAATGTCAGTAAGTCATCAACAAAATTACAGAGAACTGCAGTTCTCTCATAAAACAACAGTTGTAATAAAAATTTGATAAATATCTAACGTACACTTAGTAACTGAAGTGAGTTGTATAAAGCTATAAATAAGGTGTTTTAATGGGGAGCAGGACAATAACCAATAAAAACTTAATTATCATTATCGTAGTAGGTGTTCTAGATTCATTTTAATGCATTTATTACTGAGCAACATTTCGACCCCTAGTCTTGATCAATCAATGATGATCAAGACTAGAGAAGCCTAGTTGAAACGTCGCTCAGTAATAAACAGTAATAGAATGACACTGAAACAATTTATTATTGGTCAGAAGGGTATAAAATATATTGACAATTTTTCTACATCAACCAGGCTAATGAGGATGAGCTTATATCATACAGTGTGCTATGAGGATGAACTTATGTCATACAGTGTACTATGAGGATGAGCTTATATCATACAGTGTACTATGAGGATGAGCTTATATCATACAGTGTGCTATGAGGATGAGCTTATATCATACAGTGTACTATGAGGATGAGCTTATGTCATACAGTGTGCTATGAGAATGAGCTTATGTCATACAGTGTGCTATTAAGATGTTGTACATCTCTGTATTCTTTTAAAAAACAACTTAAAACACATTTAATCAGGCTTTTAACTGACTCTGTATACAATCGTTAACATGCCCATAATCTTGTTGTTTATGTGTGATTTACATTGTCACTTTGTAAAGTGCCTCTGAACATGTTATATGAAAGGGTCCACTATAAATATGCTGTAATAATAATAATAATAATAATGAGGATGAGCTTATGTCATACAGTGTGTATGAGGATGAGCTTATGTCATACAGTGTGCTATGATACAGTGTTATAAGAGAGAGAGAGAGAGAGAGAGAGAGAGTTTAACTCACACAAACTAGGTCGTTTCGAGACTAACACATGGTTCAATTTTATTTCAATAATTCGCTTGCACGTCGGGGTCTTTAGCAGTGGGAGGAAATTGGATGACCCAGAGAAAACCCACGAGGTTGGACAGGTGACCCTACTCCTTGTCACGTACATCCGGGGAATCGAAACCACGCCAGCTGACTCAATGACAGACCTTATGATACAGCGTGCATGTGCTAACCATTCGACTATCCATCCCTGAGTGTTATATGAGGATGAGCATAAGTCATACAGTGTGATATATTCTTTATAGGTGAATATTACTGAATAATACCCTACCTATTTCCATGTTTTGCTCAACCTTTAAAAAATTGTGGATATCATAAATAGCTTCTGTTAGTTTCACATCTCCAAATGTGAAGTAACAAACATCCCGCTTAGCCATACCTGCTGCCATCAATTGTATTAAAGCTGCAAAAAGAGAGAGAGAAATAAGGTTCACATCCACTCTACACAGACTATAACATTTTGAGACTAACATATGATATTTTGTTTTAAATAATTACTTTAGCTGTGGGAGGAACGCGGAGAAAACCCACAAGGCTAGACAGACGACATTACTCCATGTCACATGCAAGTGAGGGATCAAAACCACACCACTTGACTCAATGACTTTATGATCTAAAGCTCACATGTTAGGCCACACAAAAATATTCTGGTTCTCAGATGCTTGCAGTGTCATCAAAAATGGGCCACATCACAGGTTATCCAATCCGTAGGTTCACATTTCCAGCAATCAAGCGAAGTAACTCTATTGAGCATTTCTTGAAAAGAGACTTTGATTTAAATTGCCAGCAAAATCCATGCTTTAACAATGAGTACGGTATCGATACAACGTAATGGTTGCCAGAAAAACCAGCGGTTGCCAGGCAAGATAAGCCCACATTTTGCAAGAGATGGATAGAAAACGAGCTAAAAAAAAAAAGCGAATTTTTTACACAATTGGGGGCCATAATCCAGGAAGTTAAGGTCAGAAATATGCGAATATCGAAATGGACTGAGATATTTGGGATATAAATATATATTTTAAGTTTCATCAAAACCTGATAAAAATTGTGGCTTCTAGATAGTCCACAACCTTAGTATTACATACTTTTATACTATTTGCGTACAAGGAGCGGCCATCTTGTCAGACAGTTTCGGTCCGATTTTTTTAACTCAACTGTCTTTAGGGTGTAACAGTGAAACATTTAAACATTTTTTAAAATCAGATAAAAATTGTGACCCCTAGAGGGTCACACAATCTAAAAACGTGATTTTTCAGAGGCCATAATCCAGGAAGTTAGGGTCTGATCTGTACAAATATCAACAGGAACCAAGATCTTTGGATTATAAACATGAATGTTAAGTTTCATCAAAATCGGATAAAAATTGTGACTTCTAGAGTGTTCACAACCTTGGTATTACATACTTTTACACTATTTGCATACAAGGAGCACCATTTTGTTCGGCAGGTTTGGTCAGATTTTTACGAAATTCGTACTCAACCTTCATTGATGTGTAACGGTGATATATTTACCGTTTTTTAAAATTGAATACAAATTTTGACTTCTAGTGGGTCCACAATCTAAAAATGCGATTTTTTGAACAATCAGGGGCCATAACCCAGGAAGTTACGGATATGCTCGATTATCGAATCAAAATGTGGCCTCTAGAGGGTCTACACCTTTGATATACCATTTTTTTTTACACTATCTGCGTATGAGAGGTGGACATTTTGTCGGGCAGTTTTGATCCGATTTTCAAATTCAAACGTCAATAAGGTGTAACAGTGATATATTCAAATGTTTTTTTTAAATCAGATAAAAATTGTGACCTCTAAAGGGACCACAATCTAAAAATGCGATTTTGTGTACAATCAAGGGCCATAATTCAGGAAGTTACAATCCAATATGTGTGAATATTGAAAGGAACCAAGATCTTTGGGTTATAAACATGAATGTTAAGTTTCATCAAAATCGGATCAAAATTGTGACCTCTAGAGGGTCCACAACCTTGATAAACCATATTTTATAAACATGAATTTTAAGTTTCATCAAAATCGGATCAAAATTGTGACCTCTAGAGGGTCCACAACCTTGATAAACCATATTTGCGTACGAGGGAGCAGTTATTTTGTCCGGTAGTTCTGGTCCGATTTTCACGAAATTCAAACTCAACCCACATTCAGTGCAACAGTGATATATTGGAACATTTTTTTAAATGGGATAATATTTGTGACCTCTAGAGGGACTACAAGCTAAAAATGCAATTTTTCGCACAATTGTATGCCATAATTCAAGAAGTTATGATCTGATATGCACGAATATCAAAAGTAAACAAGATCTTTGGGTTATAAAGATGTATTTCAAGTTTCAACAAAATCAGATGAAAATTGGGACCTGTATAGTGTCCACAAGCTAAAAACTTGATTTTTCGTACAATCAGGGGCCATAATCCATGAAGTTCTGGTCCGATACATGCCAATATCGAAAGGAACCAAGATCTTTGGGAGATAGACCTATATTTCAAGTTTCGTTAAAATTGAATAAAAATTGTGATCTGTAGAGTGTCCACAAACAAATTGTGAATGGACGTCGTTTCGGACAGACGGACAGGGGCGACCGGCACTTATGACAATGGATAACCAGCCGAACTGGTAAACTACACTATACACGAGTATGCAGAGGGGTTTTAGAATCGTGTTATATGCATACCTTTAAGCTGTTTATCACCTCTAAATGCACCACAACCCCAATTTCCTGTACACACAGCAGGTCTCTGTGATGGAGGAATATGTTGTCCACAAAATATTTCAAAACCCACATAAGCCTGAAATTTATTTTCTATATGTGAATACAACATTCCATACTTTGAATTAGGTACAAACAATAATTTTAATATGAATTACAGAGATGTTTATCAGATCTACTTTCTCCAAACTGATGAATTTGGAACACTCCGATCTGATCTGAAATGAATAATTTGTCAGGCATTCTCTGCTCAAAAACAAAAGGTCAGAGCCAAATAATCGCAGAAAATTTCAATGGATGATTTCGAGAGCAAATATGGCTTCTATACATTACATGTGCAACATTCTGTGCAGACTGCACAATTTTATAGTTTCATGGTGGAGGTCAACCATAGCCATATTTGAAATGTTATTCTGAAAAATATGCTAGTTTTATGGTGTGTAAACTGAAGCGAGCATTACTGGCATCTATGGCCGAGTTGGAATCCATGATTTCAAGTAATACAATAGAAGTTAAAAATAATAACTACATAGTAGCCTGGCCCTATTCATAAGGATAACAAATCTAATTCGTCTAGTTTTCTATCTGAAGTCAAATATACATGTAGAGCTGATTTCTCCCTGTGAATATGGTCTGAATACTTGTTGGACATTTAGGTATGTTATTTAAACATGCATTATGCAAGAGCTAAATCTGCCTATTACAGGTCTTTCATTAGGTCTTAAATGTTATCTAAATTATTAATTAGACATTAATTAACTTATCCAGGCCATAATCAACTCTCGATGGCATCAGATTTCTCTGATATTAAATAGATTAGAATGGTTCAGCGATACTTTGATTTAATCAAATATGGAGGACTGAGACTTAGCTTCGATCAACCAGTACGGTGGTTGAAATTATTGCACACGTCTGTCAAACCTTCAAAGGCTAATATCTTCACTTGCAATAGAGTAATTTGAATGAAATTTTCAAATTATTCATTTTACATCATCTACTTTCGAACTATTATAGCAAGAATGGCTAGTTCTTTATCTAAATCTTACATAATGTATCTTTAAGTATAGCTTGCTACCAAGCGCTGAAATAAGCGTCCGGACACGGACAATGTCCGGGCGAATTGACCCCTTTTGACAGGCCAAATTGCCTTTCGTCCGGACATAATTGTCCGACCGTGTTTTTGTAAAACATTAAGTCAAAAATATTCGAGTCGATCGCTATTTATTATTAGACTCGAAAGTCCAGGACCAAAAATATCAATGACCCGAGTCATAGTGAAAATGTTACTATTTATATCTCGGCCGCGTGCAGATAAAATCTTCAATAAGTTTTAGAATCGACTCTTTTACGCTGGTTATATCAACGACCCGAGTCATAGTAAAAATATTACTATTTACACATGTATCTCTCTCGGCCGCGTGAAGATAAAATAATGAATAATATTGAGAATCGGTTCTTTTACACTGGTTATTCGAGTCTCGTAGCTAGCTTTGCGTTACTTTCGTATATATGATTAGCTCTAAATCACACCTAACATGACATGTAATTATATAAATTATTAGTAATAAAAGTAATAATATTTTAAAATTAGTTTCCAAGAAAATGTTCAAGTTGACTATGGATGTACATGTAATTAGAGACAGACTTTTTATACGAAAATATCTCACTTTGTTGGACACTTCCGATGTGAATGTAAATAAATGAAATGAAATGAAATGGAGTTTAACGTCCTACTGTTCTGCTCCTAACCTGGGCTAATGAAGACGGGCATACGCCATACAGTGTGCTATGAGGGAAATTTTGCCCGGACAGCGGCACTACGGCCTACTCTTATATCGAATTCCAACTGCCAAGGGATCTTTTACGTGCACGCCAATGTGTACACGGGACCTCGGTTTTTCGTCCCATTCGAACGACTAGACAGCTTTCCTTGTCAGCCCCTCCGTCCTGCATCACTGACAAGGGAGAACCACGCCGGAAAATCTGGATGAACTTTCTCGGCCAATGCAGGGATCGAACACCCGACCTCCAGGCTAACGAGCTAGCGTCTTACCCACTTAGCCACGTGATCCCCTGAATGTAAATAGAAGAGCCGTGAAAACATGTCGAATAAAATAACTTCTTACTTTTCCCAACCCTCGAACACGGATATCCCGGCTAGTGGGACCGTTCCAGAAAATTCAAAGACTGGTACTGTGTCTTATGTCTCTCATTAAGACACTTCTAAACGGGGGCCGTCGCCGTTACCAGTTCGAAAATTACAAACACGAACCGTAGACTAGAAAAGTGGATCAAAAATGACTTGGCAGATTCTGAACCATTTACGACAACTCAAGATGTCTATTCTTTAGTTAAATTTGAATCTTAATCCCCAGCCCCACCAAAGAGATTAATGACATTATTATATGAACTATAAAGTTGTATTCCATATACATATAAAAACTTTAAACTCCAGGTTGTATGTGAGTCATCAATTTATTTTATTAATAAATGTATGTATAATAATATATATAAACATAGTAAATTTCAACAGTTTTTTGGTTTAATATACTTTATAAAGTATTTGTCAGGCTGAAAATCTGAAATGTCCGGCCGAAAATCAGTTCAGCCTGACATGATGTCAGGCTGAAACTTGGCAGTTATTTCAAGGCTTGCTTGCTACAATAGCGAAATAGTTCAAGCAGTCGACAAGAGATTATGGGAACATTTACAAGACACTGATATCAATTTCATACAGATCAGATGATAACTTTTGTCATTAGAGCAATCACAATGTTCAACAAAGTTAAACAATTGAGAGAGAGAAATGGAGTTTAACATCCACTCAACACAAACTAGGTCATTTTGGGACTAACACATGGTTCAAATTTATTTCAATAATCCGCGTGCACATAGGGGTAGGAAACTGGAAATGGAGTTTAACGTCCACTCAAAACAAACTAGGTCATTTTGGGACTAACACGTTTCGATTTTATTTCAATAATTTGCATGCGCATAGGGGTGTTTAGCAAAGGGAGGAAACCGGAGGACCCAGAGAAGACCCACGAGGTTGGACAGGCGACTCTACTCCTTGTCACGTACAACCGGGGATTTACTAATTGAAATAATGCATATAAATTTAATACAGTTTGGATGATAACTTTAGTCAGAGAGTTGTTCACAATGTTCAACAAAGTGAAGTAATTAACAGAAATTTGTCTCAATAATATAAACCACATATATAAATTTCAAAAAGATCAGATAATAAATATAGCCTGAAATTGTAGATGACGGACAGACCGACGAAAAAATATATGACTCCATTTCCATGCGGGCATATAAAAATCAATTTTAAGCATATATCTTCACTGTGAATAGTGGAAATCAAAATGACGTCATGCTGTAATAAAAATGACATATTATATTGAAAATCTGGATCTATTTACCTTGTTTAATTCTCGTTTAAGCATATAATCTTTAAATTGATCGTTAGGATTTCTTATAATTAAAGCATCTATAGCCACAACATCTGTACATAATCGGCCATTAGAATCTCTGTAAATATCATAAATTAAAACAAATGTTTAATTAAAGCTAGATTTTCAGAGCAACTGTAATGGGAGATGTTTGACGTGAAAATATATGAGAGAATTTAACAAAACTGCCATATCAGCATGGAAAAGACGTTTAACAAATTGTGTGGAAAAATTGTTAAACCCTACTGCATCCCACTTTCATCAAAACTGTTTAATTATAAGTTGTTGTTGCTGTGTAGAAAGAAGAATGAAATAAATGATTTAACGCTCTACATTTCTGTGCCATGCTGTGTGCTATGAGGGAAAAATGTTACCTGGGTAGCGACATTTCCTCCTACCCTACCACGAATACCAATTGTCAAGGGTTATTTTACATGCACACCAACAAGTACATGGGTTGAGCTCAGTTTTATATCCCATCCGAACGACTGGACACTTTCCTTGGCAAGCCCTCCATCCAGCACCACTGGCAAGTGGAAACCAAGCTGAAAAATACTGATAAACCTTCTCAGCCACCACAGATATTGGACCCTTCAGCCCCTGGAAAGTGAACAAGCACAAATTCACCCAGTCACGGTAGAATAAAGAAAATGTAGTAAAATTAATAGTAACCTTGGAGTCACATCGTCATGGTTTCCAGCCCATGTGAAGCTATCAGCATAACCATCATAATTACTAAATCTTTCACAACCTAAAATAATAAATACATCATTTTACACTTGGCAGTGGTGAAGAAATATATTAGATAAGATTCAGTGTTCAATAATTCCTCACAAAGGATTTGGTGTTCACTAATGTGTCTCATGAAAGAGTTTAAAACTGATCAATGTGAGAAATATTTCATAGAAATTATGGATAAAACTAAAATGTTCAAAGTCAGTGAAGCCATGGTGGCTCAGTGTGTATGGCATTGGCTCAACATTACTGCGAATAAGTCTACTGGACTTGGTATTTTGACTAATGGTAGTACATTTTGACTACTGTTAGTCCACTGACTTGGTATTATTGGTTGTCCATTGGACTTGGTATTGGACAACTGGTAGTATTTTGACTATTGGTAGTTCACTGGACGTGGTATTTTGACTATTAGTTGTACATTGTACTTGGTATTTTGATGACTGGTAGTCCATTAGACTTGGTATTTTGGCTACTGGTTTGGGTCGATTGTGCTGGATTGTTTATTCATTTATTTTGACTACTGGTATTCCATTGGATTTTGTATTTTGACTACTGGTAGTCCATTGGACTTTGTATTTTGACTACTGGTAGTCCATTGGACTTTGTATTTTGACTACTGGTAGTCCATTGGACTTTGTATTTTGACTACTGGTAGTCCATTGGACTTTGTATTTTGACTACTGGTTTATGTCAATACTTATACATACATACCTTTCATTACTAGACATTCTTTATTATCTAAAGCTTCTGTGAACAAACGAGAGATTAACATTTCTGGACAGATTAGAAAACGGATCTCTTCTTGAACACATCCAGAACCTAACACTCCACCACCAATATACTTGTTGGCAAAATCAACCTGTAATAGTATAATATAACATGAATATACTGACAGATGATCATAATCCTATAAATTAGTGAAACTATTTTAGGATTACAAGGCCATCCCAAAATCATTGAATGTCTCACAGACAAAAAACCTTGCAAAAGGACATAGTAGGAGGAAACTTGCGGGTAGGTTTAGCAGGAGGAGGAGAGAGAGAGAGAGAAATGGCATTTAACGTCCACTCGACACAAACTAGGTCATTTCGGGACTAACATATGGTTTAATTTTATTTCAATAATTCGCTTGCGGGTATGGGTCTTTAGCAGTGGGAGGAAACCAGAGGACCCGGAGAAAACCCACGAGGTTGGACAGGCGACCCTACTCATTGTCAGGTACAACCGGGTTTTCGAAACCACGCCAGTCGACTCAATGACAGACTTTATGATACAGCGCGCGCACGCTAACCATTCAGCGATCCAACCCCCCAGCAGGAGGAGGGAAACGAAGGACATGGAGATAACCCATGAGGTTAGGTGGGAAACCTACTCCTTGTCATGTACAAGCTTGGGATCAATATCACACCATTTTACTCAATGAAAACCCTAATGATCTGAAGAGCACACATTAGACCACTCTACCACCCAACTCCCAATAATAACATTAACAAATGATATTACATTAACAAATAGCCCTGATGGTCCCCATTGGTTTCACTGGTTAGGGACATCAGAATTTTCATTGATTTTATTGGGAATCAGAATTTTCATTGATTTTATTGGAAATCAGAATTTTCATTGATTTAATTGGAAATCAGAATTTTCATCTAAAATATACTTAGAGGTGAATCGAAACCATTCAAATTTAACTGTTTATAACACGACATTACTATCTAAAGATCATACATTAGATCATTTGGGCACTCAACACCATGGGACAGTAAGCTCCACGCCCCACTAACGAATGAACGGTACAAAGAATTCAGTATTTACCTGTAATAAACCGAATCCATCATCCTCTATGGTACCAGATGACGAAACATGTATTTGTTCTGGTAACTTCTCATGACAATTTTCCCAGTTAGGTGTATTTTGTATAAACTGGCGGGTAAATGTAACAATACCGCGGGGCACTGAAACATGTAATATTTACAGATATAATACTAATTAATAGCACCAGACACTGAAACATGTCATATACAGATATAACACTATAACACTTAATACCTCCAGACACTGAAATATGTAATATTATACATATTAATCAAATAAAATGGTGTAGTACTATAAGACTTCTTGTTGTGTTTATTTTCTGGTGATCTTTAACAAGACTACAGCATAAAATAGTTTCACAACTTTATTTCTAAGTTGTAATGGCTTTGCAGGTTCCTCGATCTTAATGATAATGGCTGCTAGGAATTTCTGGGTGAGCTCTGATCCAACTCGCTTCTACACTCTAATTTATACCCCCTAATTTCTGCAGGTCTTCGATTACCTTGGCATTAATTTCCATGCCATATATGGAATGAAACTCTTTATTCCTACAACTAAGATAGGAGACATTACCTATTTTGGTTTACCAACCATGGGTCAACAAACAGCCAGAATTTGATGGATATTTTGACAATGATTATGATTTAACCAAAATATCACTGTTTTTTATGTATAACTATTTTTTTCCTTGTCATTAAGTACGTGAGACTTGACTCTATAGACAGAGTGAAGAAACAATTTTGCAAAGAATCCAAAATTGTCTCAAGGACCAAAGTGCTACAATGGGGTTTAACTTTAATGTCCTACTTTTCTGCACCAACTGGCTAATGAAGATTGTATCTATTGACATACATCATTCTACATACAACATTTTAACATGACGTTTCTATACAATATTTTGATTCTTAAAGGGGAAGACCAACGATTTTCAACAAGTTTTCCATAAATAGTAAATATATATTGATAAATAATCCCCTCTGTAACACAAGCAAAAAAGTTTTTGTAAGCGAGAAAATAATTTTTATTAAACCGGAAATGACATAGTTGGTTCAACACGCTCACTGGGCTCTATAGTAAGCATACAGACTTGGCACAAGTTTACTGCTGTATTGTGTTCACGCGTCGTCCTTTGGCCAAAAATCTGATCAGATGGGCTGTTTATTAGGATATTATAAATACGAATTTATGTTTTATTAACGTTTAGTACACAAAGTCATCGCGTAAATTCACTCATACTGAACTGTACGCTGTGCCTTAATTCACGTCACATGGCTAATTGTTTACATCACGTGGTTTGATTGACAGCTTGCAAGTGAGAGATGTTGGTCTTCCCCTTTAACCTCCATGAGATTTTTGGCTCTCCTGAACAATTTCATAAAACTCAAATACGACCTGTTGCAGCCTGGCTGACGACATATTCTAAGAAGAACTTTGTACTATATAAGGTTTCTTATGAGATGTCCAAATGTACATGTGCATCAATAACAATAACATTAAATGTGGGCTAAAAAAGAAATTCATAAATGATCAGATAATAAAATGGTTCTTACTTTTACTGGTAACACGCTCAAAATAATGGAATATACATTTTAATTTCTGAAACTTTCTATCAAATGAGCCAGTCTGGAACACTCTGCAATCATAAAATAGAAGTATTATAATTATCATTATCTGGACATTCAAGGAATTAATTTTACATCACAGCAGCCATGTAAATGATAAATTCAATAGGTGAAAAATGTTCTTTTCCTTATAAATAGAATTACAACTTGTTTGTTCACTAATATTTGGGGGGGGGGGGGGGGGTTGTCTAGTATGAATATTGGTGTTTCTTTATTGGGAAGGCCAACCATAAATATTTTTGGCATTTTTTCTGGTATAAATATTGGTGCATCTTGATTAGGAAGACCAAGCATAAATATTTTTGGCTGTTTGGCTGGTATGACCATTTAAAAACGATGCTATATGAATGAGCGGTACATGCAGTCCTTTAGTCAGAGGACTTTATGGCAGTTCTGCATATGATTGACAGTTTGGCAGAAAAATGGACACACTTAAATCATATAAATACATTAAAAAAAAAGAAACATGACTGTATTGGCAAAATGTGTTTCAGTGGGTTTTTCCCCCCAGACGTAAACATAAAGTTTGATTCAGATTCAATTTTTGAATGACAATCTGCTGTTTTAATAGGAATTATTATTCAAGTTTATGAACTAACCCAATAAAATTGATACCAGGATAATCAGCATACTCTGAACCTTTATGTTGAGAATTTCTACGGGGAAATGTACAGAGAAATGCGTTGGCCAACAGGCAGGCTATTTGCTGTTGACTCATGGTTATACTTTGATTCTTATGTTTTTTCAGCAGAGGAATTGGCTAATAAAAAAGAAAAAAAAGAAAACAAAAACATTTAACTATTGTTGTAAAGAAGTATGTGTCTAATGAATAACATATTCTCCTGGGCTCTACTTCTCACTGAATGTTATGTTATTGATCAAGTCTGATGGTTGCCAAATCATTGCTATTTTGACTAATATCACTTCCACATTGATATGCATGTTATTGATCAAGTCTGATGGCTGCCAAATCATTGCTATTTTGACTAATACCACTTCCATATTAATATGCATGTTATCGATTAAGTCTGATGGCTGCCATATATGTCATTGCTATTTTGACTAATATCACTTCTACATTGAATTGCATGTTATCGATTAAGTCTGATGGCTGCCATCTCATTGCTATTTTGACTAATACATCTTCCACATTGATATCATGTTATTGTTTTTTTGACTAATACCACTTCCAAATTGGTATTCATGTTATTGGGTTTTTTTTGACTAATACCACATTAACATGATATTGACTATTACCAATCTCAAAGTGATATTCATGTTATCGATCAATTCTAGCTACTGAAGTAATGTCATTGCTATTTTGCCTATATAACATTGATTAAGATTTTCATCAAATTGAAGCCACTGGTCCTGTGAATATAACATAGAAGGATCAAAAAGAAGACTGAATAAAAATAGAGGTTATTAATAATTATTAACATTTTAAACAAGCAGACATTGAAAAGGTTTTACCTTTGTACACAAATGTGGTAATTGAAGAGCTAATTTTATAATCTTAGGTAAAGAATATTCAAAAAAATTATCTTTTTCTTTCTTTGATACATGCTGAAAAAAATAAACAACAAAATGGATATTCTATATTTTCTGAACCAATTCATATTCCACAACAACCAAATATATTTGTTATAAATTTTATTGTAAGTTATTTAGCTTTTGGGTGACTGAAGGAAGGACAAGAGCTAACTAAACATATCACACAGTCTAGAAATCAGCAGTTAGAAAGGGTATGGTGGGGTAAAGAATAATATCAGAGCCACTGCTCTTCTGCATAACTTGGAAGAAATGAAATGAAATGGGGTTTAACGTCCTACTGTTCTGCTCCGACTGGGCATACGCCATACAGTGTTCTATGAGGGAAATTTTGCCTGGGTTATTTTAGATGTACGCCAATGTGTCAGGCCCTCATCACTACTGACACCAGGGACCCCGGTGAACTTTTTCAGTCAACACGGGGATCGCTCACGGACCTCCAGGTTAGAGCGCCAACATCTTACTCACTGGGCCACCGCGGCTCCTTAACTCGGAAGACCACTGTATAGCACGATTCGAGTCTATAGTTTTTTTATATCCTTAAAAATGATTCAGGGACTTACAAAGACTCAGAGAGTATTGTACTGGTTCACTAACCAGGAAGTCTGAGAAAAGTTTCTCAGGATTTTCCAGCCTCATTTCCCCTGTCATGATGTAGGGTGGAGGGCATGGTAAAGAAAACGTATCTAGTCAAAAAACTGAGGTTCATTCGATGAAGAGTGCAGGGCATTTTTTTAAGGAATCTGAAGTACTGGTATATAGGAGGTTTTAGGTGCGAAATTTATTTCAGATTTTGTCAAACCTTAGTAGCATTTTGGAATGTGAAGACTGTGTGCTTTTCGGTTACAAGTGTGATGTATAACCTAAATATGCTACTTTCCATCTCACAAACAGTAATAAAAGGTTGTGATTTTGAGTATACATCGGTAGCACTCCACTGCTTCTTTTTTTTTTACATTGTTTTTTATTTCCCCCACTACTTATGGAACTACAAAATGATCTGGAAGACACCATTCTTCATAGCACACAGCTTGGTGTATGCCCATCTTCTTTTCTCTGCAGCATGTGTTACATTCTTAACATTTCAATAAATCTTAGTCTTTTTAAAAAAAAACTGCTGTTCATTAGGCTTGCTATTACCAACAATACAATAAACTGGGAAATAAGCGTAACTTAACTGAACACTTACTTCAGTAAAATATTTACGTAGGGTTTGGAAATTCCATTTTTTCTGGTATCTTTGATTGTATGATAAAATAGCATCCTATTTAATGAAAATATAGCATCATAAAAGGATTATAATATTTTGATAAGAGAATAAATAAATACATTCTTTTCCTGTTCATTTGTGGGAATCGCATCAGTTTTATAACAAAATAATGTATGTAGTATTTACTTTAACAACACTAACAGCCAAAAAATAAAGTAATTTCACTTTTTAAACTGAAGTATAAAGTTGTAAAAAAAAATGTATAAAGTAATTTCACTTTGAAAAAACAAAGTATAAAATAATCACACTATGTAAAAAAAACAACCTATAAAGTAATTTCACTTTGTAAACTAAGTATAAAGTAATCTCACTTTGTAAAAACAAAGTATAAAGTAATCACACTTTGTAAAAATAAAAGTATAAAGTAATTTCACTTTGTAAAAACAAAGTATAAAGTAATCTCACTTTGTAAAAACAAAGTATAAAGTAATCTCACTTTGTAAAAACAAAGTATAAAGTAATCTCACTTTGTAAAGAACATTTATCCTCACTGCATGAAAATTTACCAAAAAATCTTACCTCCAACTCAAAGGGACCAGCTATAATTCTGTCTTTATAAGTTTCTTCTATTAGCTCCCATCTTTTCCGTAATTCAGTTGTTCCTTTCTGTTTTAATGATAAACAAACATACTAACGTTAATAAAATAATACAAAAGCCCCCCACCCTCAACTATTACTGTTAACATCTTGGCACACGTAAAAGAACCCTGGACAGTTGCAATTCAATTTTTCTCGTATTACTTAGTGTATGCCTGTCTCAATAGCCTAGTCGGAGCAGGAAAATAGGACGTTAAAACCCCATTTCATGCAATGTTTGTTAACATCGGTGACTTTGATCATTGTTGAACACAACATTTGTTATCCTACTGGTGGCATGATGTTTAGTCTAGACCATCTAGTAATATGATAATAATTGCTCTAAAGGTCAGGCTGCATTCTGGTGCCCTCTTGTCACAAATTTGTTTTACTTGTTTTTACTACACTAGGATCGGGAAAAGTTGTTTTATAACCCATGTTCTGGTTGATGTGAGGGATTAGCCAATGAAATTGTCTGTTGTGGTGAGTTCTTGGCGTACAGCGGGTAGACATTCGCAGTGATGACAAAGCAAAAGTTATTTTCCAAATACCTACTTGAAACATCGATGCTGATTGATTAATCAAATGTTTGCTGTCATAGGGTCAAAAGCTGCTCGTATGACCCCTGACACGATCTCAAACTACAACTGGTCAGATCTTAATGTAGTGGAGGTCATCGACAGAATAAGAAACGAAACAATTTTAATCAGATTGGCCAATAGGGAATAACTGGTCACCTTGCACATTTTATCTTAAATATTAATATTTTTGTAGTCAATCCAGCCTATTAATATCATCAACGATGATTGGGATGAGTAATAGTTATATACCTAGTACAGTCAAATAAATTTGAAAAATTAAATATTATTCACCATATCTTGATGTCCGATTGGGCATATTCATGGTCAGATGTTTGGGAAATAGCATAGGACATGCCCAGAATATATGGGCGAAATAGCATCACAGGTCAATAGTTATACATAATGAAGATGTGGTGAGTGAAACGTTTACCTCATTTTGTACAGGATATTCATTGTGTTTAGAACAAGGCATATGTACATGGTTACTGTTCCAACTTTCCTGGTATTGTTTCGGATAAGGTGCAGGTAAATTATTTACATCACCATATTTAAACTACAATAAAAGATAGGTTACCAAACAACGAAACATATACCCACGGCCGTTTAAACGTCTAGAGTAGTCAAGGGGTGGTTGGGTGGCTAAATGTTTTAACCTGTGCGTGTTAGATCATCATAAGGTCTGTCATTGAGTCAAGTGGCGGAGTTTCATTCCATACTTATATGTGACTAGGAGTAGGGTCGCCTATCCATCCTCATGGGTTTTCTTCAGGTCCTCCTGTTTCCTCCTACAGCTAAAAACCCTTTCGTGCAAGCGAATTATTGAAATAAAATTGAACCATATGTTAGGCTCAAAATGACCTAGTCTGAGTTGAGTGGACTATAACCCCATTTCTTTACCTCTCCCTGAGTAGTCAATAAAGGTTGTCACATTTACGTCAAAATAAATTAACAAATTTATAATATAAAATACAATACACGTGTTGACAAGATACGTGTGAATAAAATGGAGCAATTGAATTTTTTTAACTTGGGGTCATGACCCACTTGTCCCTAACCCCATGGATCCATCCTGGATCATTTTCAATAATAGTCAACATTTCACTGAAGATAGGCCCAACTTGAGAGTATGAATAAAAGGTTACTACATTTAAAAAAAACATATCACAAGTTATTTATTTTCTAAAAAATGCATGTTAGTCCCAAAATGACCTAGTTCCTGTTGAGTGCTGATTTAACCCCACTGCTCTCTCCCTTTTTCTATACTTACCGAACTATCAAAGAGAACAGTGTGTGTTTCATCAGGTTTAATTGGTTTTAACGAATTATTATAACACTGTGGAGCAGATACTAAATCAGCTATTGGTACTCCCTGAAAAAAACAAAGTATGATAGTACTATATGGACCATCGAATATGGAACAAGCATACCAAGTTTCGTTTTGATCGTACTTGAATTGACAGAGTCTTAGGCTTTTTTCAAAGAGCGTCGCCCACAAGAAAGATAGGTTGCCAGGCAACAAAACATACGCCCACAGCAGCTAAATCGTCCGAGCGGTCGTCAAGGATTGTCGCATATTTATTCCTTTTTAGGTAATTGGGGGCCTTTACAAGACAGTTCCATACAGATTAGATTATAAATTTTGTTGTTTGAGGGTTAACAAGGTTCTACAAACTGAAACAAGGGTCTCAACTCTGGAAGTAATCTACAGAAATTGTTGAAATTTGACAGGCTTTTTCGTTTTACTAACTTAAATAATGCATATAAATTTCATACAGATATTTCAAACGTTCACAATCGCCATAACTATTGATGGAAATTGCTGAAATTCAATAGACCTATTTCACAAATTTAAATGATGCATATAAATTTCATACATATCGGATGATAACTATCATCAATCGAGCATTAACAAGGTTTAACAAAGTGAAACAAGGGCAATAACTCTAGAAGTAATTATTGTAAATTGCTGAAATTCAATAGGCTTTTTCGTTTCACTAATTTAAATCATGCATATAAATTTCACAAAGATCGGGTGATAACTTTTTGCTTTAGAGCGTTCACAAGGATCAATAAAGTGAAACAAGGGCCATAACTCTAGACGTAATAAACGGAAATTGCTGAAATTCTATAGGCTTCTCCGTTTCACTAATCTAAATAATGCATATAAATTTTACAAAGATCGAATGATAACTTTTGGTGTTGGAGCATTCAAAAAGTTCAATAAAGTGAAACAACGCCCTAACTCTAGACGTAATAAACGAAAATTGCTGAAATTCAATAGGCTTCGTTGTTTCACCTATTTAAATAATGCATGTAAATTTCAGAAAGATCAGATGATAACTTTTGGAGTTAGAACGTTCACAAGGTTCAATAAAGTGAAACAAGTGCCATAACTCTAGACGTAATAAACGGAAATTGCCGAAATTCAATAGGCTTCTTCGTTTCAGTAATCTAAATAATGCATATAAATTTCAGAAAGATCGGATGATAACTTTTGGCGTTGGAGCGTTCACAAGGTTCAATAAAGAGAAACAAGGGCCATAACTCTAGACGTAATAAACAGAAATTGCTCAAATTCAATAGTCTTCTTCGTTTTACTAATATAAATAATGCATGTAAATTTCAGAAAGATCGGATGATAACTTTGGAGTTAGAGCGTTCACAAGATTTAATAAAGTGAAACAAGGGCCATAACTCTAGATGTAATAAACAGAAATTGTTGAAATTCAATAGGCTTCTTCGTTTCACTAACTTAAATATTTCATATCAATTTCACAAAGATCGTATGTTAACTTTTGGCATTAGAGCGTTCACAAGGTTCAACAAAGTGAAACAAGGGCCATAACTCTAGACGTAATAAACGGAAATTATTGAAATTCAATGGGCTTCTTCATCTCACTAATGTAAACAACATATATCAATTTTAAAACAATTGGATGATAACTTTTGGCGTTAGAGCGTTCACAAGAAATTGTGGACGACGGACGGACCGACGGACGGACAGACGGGGGCGACGGCAATATACGTCCACATTTCAATGTGGGCGTATAAAAACAGGATGAGCAGCACTTGGGGACTAAGTTCCTGATCCAAACATAATAATGTTGTCATTTAATTTATTTTAAATTATTGGAAACTGATTTTCAATTCTTTTTCTAAAACCAGAAAGAATTGAAAACCAAATTTCAGAATATCTTTTTAAAAAATGCAATTACTGTTTCTTACCTTAAAATTTTTATTCTCTTTACTTGGTTTAGAGTTGGGAATAAAATCATCCCTATAATAAAACCATTTGGAATACACATGCAATTATTATTAAAGGGTGGGTCAAAGCGAAAATTATGTTTTAGTTCAACTTCTTCTGAGCACCACATAGAAATATTCACTATTTTTTTCAAAAATAATCTTGTCTCTTCTGCAAAAACGTGAATTGCAATATAAACAAAACAACTCTGTATTTGGGACGTTATTTACATTTAGGATGTTCCATGTTAATTGTTGGTACCTGTACAGGAATATACATTATACTGATATGGTGCAGCATTGGAGATTGGATTTCAAATTTTACCGGAAAGAAAATAAAGAGTAGACTCTTACAAATTTTTAACTAAATCGATGGGGATTGAACAATCTTGACAACTGCCAACAAAAAAACTACTGACAGACAACTGCTGGTATAACAACTGCCTGTGTCGTCGTCATGCTGGCAATTGTCGCTTCGGCTATTGATTAATAATCAATCATAATACATTTTCCACTATACATATAATCAAAACAAACATTTACCCTCTAACGGTAAGAAACAAAGAAAAAATCAGTTTGCTTTTGATAAATAAAACAGAATAGAAAAATAAACTTACTCGTCATCGATAGTATAACACGATGTGTCATAAACTTTATCTGGTGAACTACTACTAGCACCATTATCATATTTCTCATTATCTGTAAAATAAATATTCAAAAAAGAATATAATTCTCCTTCGTATATATCAATACATACCTAGTGGCTATAATAATCAAAAATGCATTATGTAAGAATTAGATAAAGAGCTGACTGTTCTTGCTATAATAGTTCAAAAATAGATAATGAAAAATGAATATATTGAAAAAATTCAGACAAATTATTAATCTGAGCGAAGTTATGAATGTTTGCAGTTTCGACAAGATATGTCCCTTCATATATCAATACATAATATCTAGTGCCTATAATAATTAAAGATGCATTATGTAAGAATTAGATAAAGAGCCGACTGTTCTTGCTATAATAGTTTCAAAATAGATAATGAAATATGAATATATATGGATAATTTCAGTCAAATTACCTTATACTGAGCTATCAGTCTTTATACTTATCACAACATAGTCTTAACTGTGAAGTACCATTGAAATACGATTATCAATTTTTAAATTAAATTTTTGAATTGCGATCATGTTTCAATCCATTGACAATCTTGACCATCTGATGTTCTAGAGAGTAGATTATGGGCTTGTCAAGTTAATAAATGTCTAATTAATAATTTATATAATATTTGAGGCCAAAAGAAAGACCTGCAATATGCAGATTTAGCTCTTACATAATGCATCTTTAAGAAGAATATTAAAGATATATAACGAGTAATAGCCCATTAAATAATTATCAGAAATCATTAGAATTTGTTTCGATTGTTTGTCTCATGACCATAAAAACTGTGTATAAATTTATATTAACTTTAGTTTCTAACGCTTCCACAAGATTTCTCAAGTAATCACGGGCGACAACTCTGGCAGTAATTATCAAACATCAATAGACACTTATTCACATGGCAAGCCCATAATCAACTCTCTAAACCATCAGATGGCTTTGACATTGAGTAGATTAGACAATGCCCGCCATACCTTTGTTAAATGATAATATGGAAGCCACACACAGACTACACGATTGATGGTCTGAAAATTGAGACTTTGTTTATTATTGTGGCATGGTACTTAAACATACATTATGCAAGAGCAAAATTGGCCTATTGTAGGTCTTTCTTTAGACCCAAAATGTTATAAAAACTATTAATTAGACATTAATTAGCTTATACAAACCATAATCAACTCTCGATGGTAAAGCTAGCCTGTGATATTTGTTGGCATATAGTTCGAATTGCTGCAAAACTTTCCCTTCGTGATTAACGATTAAATGGATAATCAAGACTATTAGTATTGTCTTACCGACTTCAGTAATGATGATTGAGGCTAAGCGGAACTTTGACTCGCTTAGTTCTCGGTTCATAGTGGATCAATTTCACTGAAATTTTCAGCAAATTGCTTTTACAGTATGTAGTTTTTAACTATTATAGTGAGAATTGCCAACTCGTTATCTAATCTCCCATAATGTATCTTTAACAATCAAGACAATTTAGGCTTCTTGTCAAAACTTTAAACATTGATAACTTTTCTCAGAATAAAGTACTTCGACTCAAATTTCAATATATTCATTTTTTCATTATCTATTTTTGAACCAATATAGAAAGAACAGCCAGCTCTTTATCTAAATCTTACATAATGTATCTTCTTTAACAGACGGGATTTGAAATAAGAGTACGCCATAGTGCCGCTGTCCAGGCACAATTTCCCTCTTTATCAAAATCTTACATATTGCATCTTTTAAGTTTTGCAGATGTATTTGGTGAAAATTATTTTTATTATAAAACCTAAACCAGATAATCTTTTCCCTGTGTGCCGATTTCTGACCGATGAGACTTATAGAAACGTTCTGAATAAAAAATTTCTATACTTGAAAAAAAAAGGTACTATGAACCAGGAATCTAGCATGATCTTACACCACCATCTTGGAATTATGACATCATCAATAATCAAAGTCCAAGGAAAAAGCATGCCAAGTTTCATACTGATCGAATTTGAACTAGCTGAACCGTAGTGTCGTCCCCATAAAGAAGTAGAAGAACAACAAGGTGTAGCACTCCTAGTCCAATAATTGATTAATACCTACCGCTCATTTTCTCTTTGATTTTACTTGAATTTTCAACAGTACCGGTACTGAAATAACAATTAAAACATGCATTCTGAAAATATTGCTGAAGTCATTCATGTCACCCTCTACAGGTCTCAACAAATATTACAATGCATACATCTATAAGAGGCTGATATTCATTTCTGGGAATACATGTATACAATCCAAATACCGTAAGTGTAGATTACATAAATTTTGTGAAACTGCTGGAATTCATCTATGTAAATTACAGTACTAATTTTCACTAAATTCTTCAATGTATAACATGAACAAATTTTGGGAAAAAAGATTTTTCATTAATTTTAAGTCAATAAAAATTATACAAGGCCATAATTCAGAAAAACTAATGGTCAAAATTCATGGAATTATTACACACTATCATATCAACAATCATTTGGCCATTTGTATATGATTGTTGCCTGTAAAGACCCGATTTAAAATGTGTTTGGTTAAAGGAACTAGCCCGATTTGAACAGAGTCTCAAAAATAAAAGTCTAAGTACCAATGAAATTTAAAGCGCCAAAATGTAGAGGAATGGTGTATTTACTTTGTTTCAAAATTTCAGCTCAAAATATTGAGTTGTTTGGATGTGAACGTCAAAACTGCTTATCCGGACACGTAACCCTTTTAAAATTTGGGGTTAATTTTTTTGATAGTTGATTCCCATTACTTTAGAGGTCTATACAATGAATGACCCATGTGCTGTACTTGATAACAAAAGGTAATTTTCACCTACATGTACACATAATTTTTATAAAATAAAAGTCTGGTTTTATCCAGACACCGCATAATACAGCTTGGGACACCAGTCTACATTTCCAGATGAAGATTGAGGGGTTTAAGTTGTTTGAAAACGTATCACATAAATTGAGTTAGTTGCTCAGTCCTAAGATAGAAGATTTTAAGGGATTTTAACACAAAATAAAGCAGTTTTATTCTCCAAAATATTATCTGGATTGAAACTTTAGGGTATTTTATTTTGTCAGTTTGCTTGCCCGTAGAGGTCTTGAACAGTGAGAGGAACCGGAGAAAACCCACGGTAAGGCAGATGACACTAAAAGCTTGATATTGAAACCATGCCACTTGACTCATTGATCTAAAGGTTATACATTATACCACTTGATCACCCAACCCCCCGGAATCGTTATAGCAAACCTAGTAAAATCATAAATATACACATTTTAATGTTAGTATGTAAAATTATTCATAAACTATTTTGGAGCTGAGTTTAGAAATAAACAGAGTTTCCATACATTCTCGATTCAGCAGCTTTTCTAACTTTTTTTTTCTCGCTATCATTCATATCTGAAATACAGGTACATACAGTTTAAAATTAAGCTTAAACAGCTATCATTTGTGCTATAATATAAAAAAATCAGAAATATCTGACATCACTAGAGCCCCTGATTTATTTCATTATCTCATCATCAACGGAAATGACTAACTGTATACGTATGTATATCCCCCAATCTTCAAATAAAACAATATTTATGGACAACACGATTATTTTACACTGCAACTTTCAACAAGATATCACAAGTTGTTACCATGACATCAACAAAATTAAATAAAATTAAAAGGAGAAAAAGGTATGAATATATATATACCAAGCAGTGTGATCTATCCAATGGAATGCAAGAACAGCAAACTTGAGCAGCTCTGACAAGCTGTTAAATCTTTCAATGTTTTTTAACTTTAATTTCAAAACATAAAATTTTAATCTAAAACAATAAAATTAGTAAACAAACCTGTTTTCCGTCTCTTTGATTTTGATTGATTTGTTCCACACATAAAGTCCAATAATGATGACTGTTTCAAAAGTTTCCTTTTCTTATCGGACATTCTGACATATTAGCAACATCCTAAAAAAAACATTTATTAATATTTCCTTTGTTTTGTTTATTCTACATTAACTAGAAGGACTGGTGTTGGAAATGACCACATATGCTGCACACAGACTGATGCTGAGTTACAGACAATGAAATGAAATTAAATAAAATGGGGTATAACGTTAGCACCAACTGGCTAAAGAAGACAGGGATATGCCACAAAGTGTGTTATTTAGTAAATTTTGCCCTGACACTAAATCAGACATACCCAGTGAAAACTAACCGATCACTGATTTTCCATTTCATGTTTCATAAATGATCTGAGTTGTTTCATACCATTACAAATAAAATACATCTATAGGCTATTAGACGATAATAAGCTTTTTTGATTTCCTAATGTAACATTGCTTCTAATTCAGAAGTACCTGAATCTATAATCAGACCTAAAGCAAAACCTATCTAGCTTTTTAGCACTGTAGATATTTACTTTAGTAAAATGGCACTGTCTTCATTTTGATTTAGCCTACTGTCTTTTATAACTTAAACAGTGTTTAATACAATGACAGTGGAAATATTTCTCAGCTACAAGAATGTCGATAAAAATGTTACGAAATTTTTGATGTGTTTGTTTACATTGGAGCCCTTTAGTTTCACATGGCAAACTCATTTTTTGTTTATATAACCTCTTAAAAGTGAGATAATTTTACACATTATGATAAATTAAACCCAGCCACCCGCATCTAGCAACGCAACTTTCTGATAACTACAAATATTAAATTAATCAAGAGTGTTTTAATCACTGACTTGACATAGTTACGATGCATTATGCATGCCCTAACTGAACACATAGGCCTTCATGTAATCTACTAACAACAGTAGGACTATAGTCTAACCATGTCTTTTGTTTTGGACTTCAAATGAAAATTCCTGTCAAGCAACCCATTCGATTTGAAAGAGGTGATTTCTCAGGTAGGATAATGGTTAATTGTAGTTGGGTGTGGCAGATATTGAAAAAATACATATTACCGGTATATAATTATATATTATAGTGCCGTCAGTCGTCAGTAGGGAAGCAAAGGAAAAAAAAAAGAGGCATGGATTGACATAGATAATAATAATTAATTTTTAAAAATAAAATTAAAAGCTAAAAAGACAATTAATTAAAAACATAAGTTATGTAGCCTACTTTACAAACCACTACTTCTACATCTTTCTAAGAATATGTTTCTATTCTCCAGAAATCTACCGTGAGTTATATATGATAGGCCTAGTAAACTGAAAGTAGAAGCAAGCAAGTTCATCAGAATGTAGTCTCAAACTTGCTCAGCAAAATAACCATACACAACACGCAGCTGTACGAAATTATTATAGTTCAATTATCCTACCAAAAAGCTGAATGTATTTAATTGTTTAATATAATACTATTTTGGTTTTACTTACAAACCATCTTTCGTAAAAAAATTTCATTCTTTCTAACGGTATCGTAATAATATTGTTCACTTCCGGTTGAGTTGCCTCGTTATCGCCCTTTTCCGGACGACCACCATTACTGAACAAAATGGTATGTCTAGGTGTCTTTGAAATCAAGGATAATCGAAGAATTAATAATAAATCCTGGACTGTTTTTCGCACATTTCGAATCCTACAACATTAATAAAAACCAATATTGATTATTGTGGCTCGTTATTCTGGTTTTAGTAGGGAAAATTGATGTTAGAAAGTTGATGTGTTCCATGAAAAGCATGTAAACACAACCAACTGTAATTTTAGTTTTGCAAAAATAATGCCAGATTGAAAATATCACCAGTTGAAATGAATTGAGTTATAATGACAATTGTAATAATGCACTTGAATATACAATATTATTTTTCACCGATAGGACATCGAATAATAGAAAGTAGGCCTGGTTTGAACATCGAATTAGAAACCTATCTCTCTTTTAGTCACGCAAGTTGCATTGCAAGATGCAACGAAATTTCAACAATATAAACAACATTGTTATCAGAGTACTTCCCATGTTAAAGAGAAAATAATACATATATAATATGGCCATGTTTTGATGGGTAGAGCCCCTCCCCTGGCACCGTAAATATACTGTTCAAAAAAAGTAGGGGATATTTGATTTTGGGGGCATAATACTAAAATATGCAAATGACTACGAAAAAAGTCACTATAGAACCTAACAGAAGAAACATTTCCAGTTACATGTGACGCCCAAACGCACCAATAGTAGGGTGACCCACCATAAATAAATATCTCCATATATCTCGACAATTACGCCACAATATTTATATATATGCCAAGCCTCAAATCAGTTTCACACAATTATAGTCACTAAAAAAACGATCATGTTGTACTTAATAAGCTATGACCATTAATCATGTATAAATAATAGACTGAAAACTGGTTCCAAGAGTCGTCCATAACATCCAGACACTTTTGTGTAAAAGATAGGTTACGTGCCCTTGTTTTGAAATTAGTCTCGCTTAACTAGCCTATCGACCATTCTACGTCTGATTGACAGGTCGGGATAATCAAGACTACTTTTTTACGAAACATAACAGAAAGCTAGAACAAGAAATTGAATTTAGAAATAAGCACGTTAGGTAGCTCAACAATCGTTTTAAGAAGCTTGTAAAAGTAAAATGAAACTACTGCTGGTATCATGTTCCTGTCTAACCCGAGTGATTCAGAGATATTATTTGTACTAAACCAAAAGATGCCGCTCTTAACGGTACAGTTAATGATAAAGCGATTTAAAAAATGAAACAAACGTAATTTCTAAATCTGCTGTAATAACCAAGAAGCTTAATTTTACTGCTATTCAAAATCGTCAACAATAAATTTTTTACGGCTGTAATAGTTGATAGATTTGTAGAGAATTGCACGTGCCATGGCTATTTATAGTATCATACTGTCAGAAAGTTGGTCTCGGCACGGCGAATGTGCACGCTTCAGTGGTAGTCTCGAACTATCAGCGGTGGACTGTATTTCTGTGAGTACATGGGTCACCCTACCAATAGCTACCGCATGGAATGCAGGTGATGCTTGGGATCATCATGGGGGTCCAACCCAAGATTTGCACGACTCTGACTTTGAATGTTACAGTCATTGTGGCATTGAATTCCAGGGTGGAAACATCAGTTTAATTGTTTTAGTGACCAGAAAACAAATTTTGATATGCGTCGGCTTACCCAAAATGAAAGGTTACGTGCCCTTGGCATGCTACAGATCGGCACAACACAGGCGGTTGTGGCGCGGACGATGAATGTTTCTCAGTCTGTCATAAGCAGGCTATGGTCCAGATACCGTGATACACAATCTGTACAGGACAGACCACGCTCAGGTCGACCAAGGGCGACAACTCAAGCCCAGGATCGATTTATCCGTACCTTGGCCTTGAGAAATCGTGTCAGACGATTCGGAATCGACTGCATAGGGGTCACCTTCGCGCCCGACGTCCTCGTGTGATCCCTTGTTTGAGAGATCATCACATTCAGGCAAGACGTCGTTGGTGTAGGGATCGTCAACACTGGGATAATCGACGCTGGAGCAATGTGATGTTTTCAGATGAGTCAAGGTTCACTGTTGATTTTTTGGACAGACGTAGGAGGGTGTGGCGTCGTCGAAACGAGCGCTTCCAAGACGTTAACGTCATCAGACATGATCGATTTGGGGGTGGTTCTGTTATGGTGTGGGGAGGCATCACTGTTGCTGGAAGAACGGCTTTACATGTTGTTGCAGGGCGTGTTACAGGCCAGTACTACCGGGACAACATCTTGGCAGTCCATGTTGTGCCGTTCGCACGTCATGGCCGCCGTTTCATCTTCCAGGATGACGACGCAAGATGTCACAGGGCCAGGATCGTTACAGGTTACCTCCAACAACAGAACATCACCACATTACCTTGGCCAGCACTGAGTCCCGACATCTCCCCCATCGAGCATGTCTGGGACATGCTTGGACAGAGGTTACGTCAACGTCAACAACGTCCTGCCAATGTCCAAGAACTTGCTGCTGCGTTGCAACAGGAATGGGACAATCTGGACCAAAATGACCTTAGACGTCTCATTAGGAGTATGCCACGTCGGATCAATGCTTGTTTGGCAAACAGAGGAGGATTTACCCGTTACTGACTTGGTTGTGATGCTGTGGTAACTTTGCTGTTTGACCCCCGGGTATCATTTTACCCTTATAATGGTCAGCCTGTGCCTTACTTAGTCTAACGATCATTTGGAATAAATCGATGAATGTGAACTTCATTTCATTTTGTCATTTGTTTCTTCGTCAGTTTCATTAGGTGACTTTAATAACACTTAAAAATCAAATATCCCCTACCTTTTTTGAATAGTATATTTCAAGTACCGTAGTTTTATGGCTTAGTAGACCTAAATACTAATAGAAATTGCCTGTGCACTTTCCACGTAAAAAATAGAAAATCATATTCGTAATCATAATAATCCTAGTCATGTGGCCCGGTTTTGATAGGTAGAACCTGTCGCCTGGTTAAGTATCATGAAATAATGTTACCGTTAGATTACAATAGAATCTATGTTGTCACTGTATATTAATAATAAAGTGATAGAAATAGGCCTAGATATCAAAGCCAAACTACATTTACACAGTACGGTACTTTGATGTCACTCTTAAGTGCTGGGTACTGCTGCATTCACGATACAATATGTATTGTGATTCAGGTGCTACGATACGATTTGTATCATGATTCATAACCAGGTCAATATTTTCCAAGAAAACAACAGGATAAGTGAATAATTGATATTTTTAGTCCTGCTAATGTCGGAGAAATAAAATTATTTTTTTATATCACAATATTGATATGGATCAAAATAGAGACCAAAACAATTTAAAGATGTTTGTGTGACATGGAGTGACAGGTTTTGTTACTGAAGTGCCCCCCCCCCCCCAATAAATCTACAGTTGTTTATGGTCTGTAGGTATATGGCCATAATTATATGTAAAATGTTGGTATATTTAGATTTGTATAGTTTATATGGCTTCAATTAGTATCACCA